GCCTGGTGCTGGAGGGGGGAGTATAGGGGGGCATGTTGGTATAGGGGGTACAGCCGTGGCAGAGACTGGGACTTCGGTGATAGTACCTGAGGAGGAGATGGCGCTCTCCACCTTAGATATTCTGCTATTGAGGGTCTGTAGGTTGGCCAAGATATCTGCCAGGGTATCCTGGCTGGCCGTGCTGTATCTTGGTGGTTGTCCTTGAGAGCTAGTTCCAGGCCTAGGCTCAGGGGCTTGGTGGGTAAGCAGCCTATAAAGTTCTGCCTTTCTAGCTGTGGCCGGAAAGGGGATTCCCCTGAGCTTAAGCTCGGCTGTGATTTTGGGAATAGTCCATGCTCTCAAGGACGTGGGGGTTGAAAGAGTGAGTGATTCGCCTGGAGACCGGGTCTGATTGGCGTGAATGGTGTTTCTTCTGTCAATTCTTTGGTTGGAATTGGTTCTTGGGACATTCTAAAAAGGAATGATTATGTGAAAGATATATTAGAGGGGGAGTGAGGTAAGTAGGAGGGGTATGAGGGGTGGTGTATCTGGAAGAACTGGACTGTAATGCTAGATGCCGAAGCGAAAAACTTAACTGTTGAATGACTGGATAGGTGAGGCCCTGCTAATGGCGGTGAGAGGCTCTACCTATGATTTGGCTTATGACGTAGCTGCCACAGACGTGGTGGCGGGATGTTGGCCTCTCGGTGACGGTAAAGAGAAATCAAAACGTGTGGCCATGACAGGTGAGGCCCTAACTAGAGCCCTGTAGTAGGGCATGCGAGGCTTATAACTATGATTTGGGCGTGGGGCCGTACCTCCGTGTTGAGGTGGGGTGGGGGTGGTAGGCCTCGCGGGATTGAATTTCCTGATAGGGTGGGCTAAGGCATTAGCCTGGGCCCTGTAGCCAGTTCGATTGTATGCTTAAGGGTAAAGTGAGAGGACTGGAGTGGTGTGTGGATACTAACCTTGACTGGTCGCAAATGGTATCTGGAGCCTCCTGGTGGTAATAAGTGAAGAGAGTCTTGTCTTATTGCTGTCCTTGAGGAAGAATCCTGAGGATTTAAGACAGATGTTGATGTATTTATGCGTATCGTGATGTTGTATGATTAGTATTGGGAGTTGGTTTGTTAGGGGCGCAACGTGAGATCCTGCGTTGAGGGATCTGGAAGGTTAGGTGTAAGAATGGGATGATTTTAGATATTTGTGAGAAGGCAGAATGAGGTCTTGGGGTGGCGAATGGACGTACTTGAGTAAGGACGTAAGTACCTGAAGGTATGGCTGAGTACCGGGTCAGGTTTTGGTGTTTTCAGAGCCTGATGGCCGTACGACCGAATGTCTGTGTAGACAAATAGTAAAGAGATAACGTATCATGGGCGTAAGCCTGAGGGAAGGTAGTAATGAAATTGAGACCGCGTGAGGTCTAGTATGGGATGTAGAAAAAAGAGAGTGAACTATACCTTGGTTTGAAGTACAGAGATTACGTTAAGCGTGGCAGGTTAACTGCGTAGAATCGGTGGAAGCTTAGAATAATACAGGAGCTAAGGGTTTAACCAAAGAAAATTTTCATATTTAGCGACAGATGTGAAGGTAAGTAATAAAACCCGATAACTCAAAGTGATAAGATACAATACCTGTTCCTGTAATAAAAGACCTTGAAATAACAACTTTAGCGCAGAAAAGCGAGAAACCGATGCAATCTGTAAAAGCCAAAATATGTGACAGCGTGATTATGTGAAAAGGAATAGTACCGATGTTGGTGTAACGGGTATTTCTGGCACGTAGTGTTTAATGACTTATATCTGTGTGTTTTTAGAAAAATGGTATTACTTGTATTAGACACGTATGAAGGTATGTACCATGGTTAAGAAGGGGTGAAGTTTATTAGTTAAAATATGTGTAAGAAAAGCCATATGTTTATAATAGTTTTACAGTAAAAAATACGTTAATCAGTTAGCATAGGTAGGAAAACACAAGGCTGGTAGTTGAACCAGATTAGTATAACCCCATACTGATGTGTAGGTATTAGTAGTTATCTGACCGAACAGGGAATATACGAAAATGTAGTAGGATTCGTGTGATTTGAACTTGTGCATACTTTAGCCTGTTTGAATAGAAATATAGCCGAATATGGTTTAGTAAAATGGTGTTCGTGTATTAACCGTACGAAATAGGTTGGTACAGAGTGACCGAACGGAAAAAAGGAATACAGATAATAAAATGAGCGTAATACTTTATATATGGATTCGGTAGTTTCCGTGCGAATATTTTAAAGGACCACTCTAGGCACCCAGACCACTTCAGCTTAATGAGGTGGTCTGGGTGCCAGGTCCAGCTAGGGTTAACCCATTTTTTAATAAACATAGCAGTTTCAGAGAAACTGCTATGTTTATTAATGGGTTAAGCCTTCCCCCTAATCCTCTAGTAGCTGTCTCATTGACAGCCACTAGGCGCTGCGTGCTTCTCACTGTGATTTTCACAGTGAGAGCACTCCAGCGTCCATAGAAAAGCATTGTAAATGCTTTCCTATGAACGACGGGCTGAATGCGCGCGCAGCTCTTGCCGCGCGTGCGCATTCAGCCCGGAGGCATAATGGAGGAGGAGAGGAGGCAGAGAGCTCTCCGCCCAGCGCTGGAAAAAGGTAAGTTTTAACCCCTTTCCCCTTTCCAGAGCCGGGCGGGAGGGGGACCCTGAGGGTGGTCCTTTAAACGATAGTGAAATGAGCCGAACGTTCGTGTGTTTTGGAGCGAACAGAAAAACTTTATACGAAGAGCATGTATTCGTGTAAATCCGATAGAGGGAGCCTACCCCTATGTTTTTAGGCCCGAACGGCGGGGAATAGCGAACGCTAATTCCTTTGCCTAGCTTATATGAACGTGCCGGTCTCATGACCGGAAGTCGGGTACCTCGACCGGGGAAAAACCGAGTGGAAGGACCTCGAACGGACGGAGGATTGATCAGGACGTCTGACTGCTGGAAACAGGAACAGTTCTGGCGGGAAGCTGGACCGGAAGTGCTGGACAATCAGCTGAGCGGCAGCGGTGAGTAGGGGCTGGGAGTTTAAGTGGGGGACTTACTCCTCCCACAAATTCAGGCCTAATGGCCTTTCTACGTATATATATATATAGATGTAAAAAACAGATAAAATGTGTATCTTGTAATACCTTTTTTATTGGACTAACAGAATTGTTTAATGACCAGCTTTCGGGAGAACCTCCCTTTCTCAAGTCTGAAGCTTCAGACTTGAGAAAGGGAGGTTCTCCTGAAAGCATGTCATTAAACAATTCTGTTAGTCCAATAAAAAAGGTATTACAAGATACACATTATATCTGTTTTTTACATCTACATCACTGGACTAATACGGCTACAATCTCTACTTGAACACTATATATATATATTTTTTTTTTTAATATAATTTTTTCTATGGTAGTTCACTCTAGTCCATGACTGCCTTGTTCTTCCTTATAAACAGAACGATATTGTAGGTTTTTTATGAGGATAATCTGTATATTATTAGGAAGACCTTGAAAAACTACATTTCTCATGATGCCCTCTATGCAGAACATTAACTTCGACATATTCTGCTCTGTTATGCTGTCAACCGGAAGTTACATTAACCAGAAGTGACGTTTACACACGGAAGTGTTTTATGCGTTCCACAGTGGAATGCATGCTATCAGCTGCCGCAAGTTTACCATGAAATCCCGGTATATTAGAAGAACTCGACGGAGCAAGATTATACATCCCTGAGGAAGTCCAGAAAGGACTTTTACATTTACTTGCTGATATTACATCTTTTTATTTTTATTTGTTTTTACTTTGTACTTGTGGTCCTGGGATTTTTCCTGCTGCCTATTGGATACCTGGATACCACTTTGTTATGAAGATATGATGTTTGTCATCTTACAATTTGTAAGTGCAGCTTGTAATAATAAATTTGCTACTTTTATACAATCTGCACTATCCCCTTTTTTCCTTTATATTTTGAGCTTTCTAAGAAAATACACCTATACCAAGATTGCAGTGTTTTGGAAGATTCCTCCTATCCATGCAATTACCCCACTTTTGTAGGAGACATGCCTGAATTTGCTACTATCTAGTGCGTTTTCTACCATCCCCAAGCCCTTCACTTGTGCTTATTGTATTTCACTATATTTTCTTTTGTTCCCCTAGACATATGGTGTTTATGGTAGATTCTACCGATTACTGTACAGGTTGTACCATTTGTTACCACTTGTGATTTATACACACACTTTTCTCCTTGTTTTTTTTCTCTGTATCTTTGGTGTTCCTTATTTTCCCGAATGTCATAAAGCCAGAACCTCTCAGGACTTATGAATTATTTTTTATCCTCTAAGGCCTCCCACATTAGGCCTGGGTCATCATAGCCCTCATCCTCTGAAAGGTCGTCATTGTGGCGAAAGTAACCTTGCCACTGGTTCTTGGAGATGCCTGTTTGCCAGCCTCCTGCCTCAGGACTATGGGCCATGCAAAAAGGCTCATAAAAGACGTTGTTCGGGGGACCACCCGGGAGCTTGTTAAGCCCTATCATCACCTGATTCTCTGGAACTGTTTTGGGCATGGGACCATGCGTGTGGTTGGTCAAAAATATGACTTCCATGGAAATCCCGAACCCCTGAACCAATCTGGGTGACTTGTGGATATGTTGATCACCCAGATAGGGGCTATCAGGGGATGTAAATTTTGTGGGGTTTCCATGGGTTTTAAGGGTACTTTCATGGTACTGCTGAAATGTGTGTTTTTCTGCCTGGAGATAATTATCTCCCAGACACAGGGGAGGGATTGTCTCATTTTGTATGGCAGTGTCCTGGACCTGAGAGCCAATGTAATCCCATGTATGTTTGTACTGTAGTCTACTCTCAGGTCCAGAGGGGAGTGCCTCTTGCATGGGGATTGTCATAAAAGGCCAGTTGTGGCTACCAATAAACCAGTTTACCCTCAACACAGAGACTCATCCCGTGCTTGTAGGGAACAGCTATACCAGCTATAATCCCTGCTCTTGGAATTGTTCTTTGGTGCTATAATCACTAGCTCTTGTAAGAGCTATCCTGCTGTACTCTCTGGAGGAGGAGATGTCTGCCAACTAGAAGCTGGATCCTGGTCTTGGGGTCCAGGGTGGATGAAAGACAGTGAGACCCCAACCAAGCTGTAACGCTGGAAGTGGGGACTACGGTGCTCATGGTGTCTGGTGGAGTGCTTGGAAGTATTCGGTGAGCACTAGAAAGCAGCGATTGGCAGAGGCACCCAGTTGGGGTGCCAGGCGGTCAGTCACAGTCATCTGCTAGAAATGGGTACTGCTGGACTGCATACCACCTTAAGGCCCGGTAAGAATCATCCGGCCACAATTCTTTCTGGACCAGCTCCTCTAATTTGAACACCCATTCCGCCAGGGGCTGCTCTCCCAAGAATTGCATCTGCAAATTGACTTGATCCCAAAATCGTTGCCTAATGGTTGAGAGGCATTCTCACCGGAGACCACAAACCACCTCAAGGACATTGTTCCAGAGATCCTGATAGATAGTGTCCCACCGGTCCAGTTCGCCATCTGTCAAAAAAGGGCCATCATACTGGGACTGAGCTGCTTGTAGCCTCTGCTGGAACTCCTCCTTGAAGGAGGGCGCTGCACTGGTGGTAGCTCCATCCATCTTGGCAAATTGCAGAAGGCATACAGGGGTCCCAGTCATAGTCAAACAATAGGAAGCCATCCCACCTCTGCCACCAATGTGACAGATCTTAAGTACTCAGACCAAGTACCTCCACCAAGCCTGCTATCAGGAACCTTGGAGCACTTTAGACCCAGTTGCTGAGGCTTGACTGGGATCACTGAGGACCTTCTCCACCCTAGACCAGGCTACTGTGTTTATAGCCCTGGACAAACTTTTCATCAGCAGATTATATCCCATTCCCAAAACACCAGACGACACTTGGTGAAGGTTAAAACAGTAACTGACTTTAATATATAAAGCACACATATTTAAGCCCCCAACAGCCTTATGGGTGGGGTCGGACAATAGCAAGGGCTAATAGGGAGGAGTCGGGCAACTATAGGCCAGTAAGCCTTACTTCAGTAGTGGGGAAAGTGATGGAAACCATGTTAAAGGATAGGATTGTTGAACATCTAAAAACACATGGATTTCAAGATCAGAGACAACATGGATTTACTTCAGGGAGATCATGCCAAACTAATCTTATTGATTTTTTTGATTGGGTAACTAAAATTATAGATCAGGGTGGTGCAGTAGACATTGCTTACCTAGACTTCAGTAAGGCTTTTGACACTGTTGCACATAGAAGGCTTATCAATAAACTGCAATCTTGAAGTTTGGATTCCAATATTGTTGAATGGGTAAGGCAGTGGCTGAGTGACAGCAACAGAGGGTTGTAGTTAATGGAATATATTCGAAGCTTGGACTTGTCACCAGTGGGGTACCTCAGGGATCTGTACTTGGACCCATTCTCTTTAATATTTTTATTAGTGATATTGCAGAAGGTCTTGATGGTAAGGTATGTCTTTTTGCTGATGATGCTAAGATATGTAACAGGGTTGATGTTCCAGGAGGGATAAGCCAAATGGCAAATTATTTAGGTAAACTAGAAAAATGGTCAGAATTGTGGCAACTGACATTTAATGTGGATAAGTGCAAGATAATGCATCTTGGACGTAAAAACCCAAGGGCAGAGTACAGAATATTTGATAGAGTCCTAACCTCAACATATGAGGAAAGGGATTTAGGGGTGATTATTTCTGATGACTTAAAGGTAGGCAGACAATGTAATAGAGCAGCAGGAAATGCTAGCAGAATGCTTGGTTGTATAGGGAGAGTTATTAGCAGTAGAAAGAGGGAAGTGCTCATGCCATTGTACAGAACACTGGTGAGACCTCACTTGGAGTATTGTACACAGTACTGGAGACCGTATCCTCAGAAGGATATTGATACCTTAGAGAGGGTTCAGAGAAGGGCTACTAAACTGGTTCATGGATTGCGGGATAAAACTTACCAGGAAAGGTTAAAGGATCTTAACATGTATAGCTTGGAGGAAAGACGAGACAGGGGGGATATGATAGAAACATTTAAATACATAAAGGGAATCAACACAGTAAAGGAGCAGACTATATTTAAAAGAAGAAAAACTACCACAACAAGAGGACATAGTCTTAAATTAGAGGGACAAAGGTTTAAAAATAATATCAGGAAGTATTACTTTAATGAGAGGGTAGTGGATGCATAGAATAACCTTCCAGCTGAAGTGGTAGAGGTTTACACAGTAAAGGAGTTTAAGCATGCGTGGGATAGGCATAAGGCTATCCTAACTAAAAGATAAGGCCAGGGACTAATGAAAGTATTTAGAAAATTGGGCAGACTAGATGGGCCAAATGGTTCTTATCTGCCGTCACATTCTATGTTTCTATGTTTAATGGGATATTGAGGAGGGACATGGCAACTAGTTTAACCCCTTAAGGACCAAACTTCTGGAATAAAAGGGAATCATGACATGTCACACATGTCATGTGTCATTAAGGGGTTAAACTGGTCTGACAGTGTCCCTGGGACAACGCCCTGTAATAGAAACAACTGGACAGGAAAAAGGGGGAGCGAGAAAGGCATAGACAATCAATACATTCAACATACCCTGTACTAATACTGGGCACAGGGTGACCTAAACACAAAAGGAATCTGGGGACCCACACATAGTGTCTATCTCCATCCCCAGTGACTGTGACTGCCGTCACAGGTATAAAGTCCATGGATTGTAAATAAATAAATGTGCTAGCCTTGGGAATCAAATTTTATTTTGGTGAGTTTTCCAACGGTGATTTAAAAGAAGAAATACCACAACAAGAGGACATAGTCTTAAATTAGAGGTGCAAAGGTTTAAAAATAATATCCGGAAGTATTACTTTACTGAGAGGGTAGTGGATGCATGGAATAGCCTTCCAGCTGAAGTGGTAGAGGGTAACACAGTAAAGGAGGGTGACAGATCCCTCTGTTCTGAACTTAAATAACCGTATTCTTCATTCGTTAGTTTGATTCGTGTTTCCTCGTTCATGTGGACTCTATGCCGTTCCCTATTAACATACCGAATAAAATTACCGAACGGCCGGCCACCCAGTAGAGAAGTGTGCTGCTTGTTAACCTCTTGGCCCCATTAGAACGTTGAGGTTAACCGCAGACACCTCTTAATTGATACGGTAGTTGGTCGGCCGCCATTTGTATACCGAACACGAGGTCGCGGCCATTTTAAATCCACGAATGCACAACAGTGTTCGACGCCCAACTCATGTAACTCAAAACGGATACTTTTTGGCATGAACACCGCTGAAGCTGCCAACCTCCCTTCTTGTACGGTAGAAAGTTCACGAACGGCCCTATATTTGGTATTTTGTCCACGAATACACCATACCCCAGATAGACATCCCGTGGAGCCCATTCGTATGAGAACTGACTTTGTGAACACTTTGGCTCCACGGCGATTGGACTGTGTGCATAGGATCTGAGCGCTATTCGGTACTTTTGTGCGCTCAGATCCTAGCTATCTGGGGACCTGCTGAATGCCTGTATTATGTTGTAACATGTAACAGTTATGTATTTTTATGCCTTTTTGTTATTGTCACCTAAAATGGCGTTTAGGTTCTGTCCTGGGAGATAATTGAATTACTTCACAATTATCTCCCCGGGCAGAGCAGAGGGTCCTGGGTAATAAAAGGGGAATGGCTAAGTGTATACCCTATGATTGGCTGCTACAATGTCCTTGTCACGGTCTCCCATTTGGTCCCCTAGGGGAGTGTCCACCAGATGGGAGACCTGCATAAAAGCCGGGCATGTAGCCCACATTAAATCAGATTCCTGCTGACCCTCAATACGGAGCTTTGTCTCGTCATTGGGGGGATTATTCGTATGGCGTACGCTTGTTCGGCTCTTTGGGAGAATAATTGATTCGTATGATTGCTGTTCGGATGTTTGGGAGAATAGTTGATCCGTATGATTGCTGTTTGGCAGTTTGGAGCACTCAGTGGCTACCTCTACATTCGGAAAGGGAACGTCTCCTACGGCAGTAACCCCTCTCCTACCGGGGGAGCCGTAACAAGGAGTTTAAGCATGTGTGGGATAGGCATAAGGCTATCCTAGCTATAAGATAAGGCCAGGGACTAATGAAAGTATTTTTAAAAAACTGGGCAGACTAGACTATGTTTCTTTGTTTCCTTGGCAAAAGATATTATTACTGTAACACCAAAATAAGGAATTAGAATTTTCTGTTAATTTCTCAATTTTATTTTTAACTGTTGGTGTAAATTATTTGTCATATTTTATATCAACTGTTTTTGTTGCTAATAAATTTTGCTTCATTAAGATTTCATTTATCTGATTAAGAATAATGTTTCCATGACAAGAAATATTTAATTGTATTTATGATTACATAGATATTTTGCTTAATTGTTTAGTGGGTTTTTTAGCCACTTAAGGATCACATGACAATCAAAGGGTTAAAGCCCTGTTGGTATCAAGGAGCCCCAGTATCTTTCAAGATGGCATGATAAGCCACCATCTCCGGCCTTGTGCACAGGCAAAAGCAATATCACCTCTATTTCGGTGATTTCTCCAGCTCCAGCAATTGATTTTTCAGTTCAAAGAATGTTGAATGACTCCATGGACACTCAAGGCAGATTTTTCTTGAATGGCCGGGATGCCAATCCTGATATCCAAGCTCCAGGAGAGCGTACTGCTCTTCTAGAATATAATGCAGAGGAGCTGATCAACGCTCACAACTTGCTAGAAGATGCATACATGGCCATGGTTGCCAAACCGCAGCACCTTACAGGTAAAATGGTTAAATCTAAAGTACCAAAAAGGCCTTGGTCCCATGAATCGCATCTCAAAATAGCCTGGATCCTTATGGCACTGCATTGTAACTTATCTCAAGGGTGGCTTCTGATACTAGAGTTAAGCGATTATTTTTGGTCTAGTGCAGAAAAAGTGAAATTTTTTTTAACCCTTTACTACCAGAACCAAGTCACGAGCAAGCTTGGAGTGACACATACATTATGCACAAAAAAACCACATACACACATTATACACAGACCCCAATACAAAATTATACAATATACAATGTATGTATATTACACATACACTCATTATACAAATCGCGCACGTACACTCGTTATATAGACACAGCGCGCGTACACTCATTATATATGTGGCGGACCACTGTCACTAAGTACCATGCCCACTGCTCATTCGTGTGTTTTCCCCTGTGCATTGTACATTTCCCCATGTATTCCTATGTATTTCCTGTAATCTGCCATGTTGACCGTTCGGGAGCGCTTCTGCATATGGAAACCGGTCATCCCCCGAATGCGGACCACCCCAGTGCCCCATTAGAATGTTCACACTAATCAATCAGAACGTTCGCGCCTGCAACATAAGTGTGAAACCGCCGTGGAAGTAATTAATCAGTGGTCCCCTCGTTCGTATAAGCGTACGCCACCCAGGGGGAGTATTCGTATGCCCAAAGGATACGCTTCCCTTGCATGGTCTGAACACCGGGACTACACAAATGGGTCCCTGAGGTTGGTGGGGACACTGTTGGGGTACTGGCAGTTCGGATCACCTTACCTAAGGGAGCTATAATCACTATTTTCCCCTACAGTAAAGGAGGAGTATATTTAAAACAAGAAAAACTACCACAACAAGAGGACATAGTCTTAAATTAGAGGGACAAAGGTTTAAAAATAATATCCGGAAGTATTACTTTACTGAGAGGGTAGTGGATGCATGGAATAGCCTTCCAGCTGAAGTGGTAGAGGTTTACACAGTAAAGGAGTTTAAGCATGCGTGGGATAGGCATAAGGCTATCCTAACTAAAAGATAAGGCCAGGGACTAATGAAAGTATTTAGAAAATTGGGCAGACTAGATGGGCCAAATGGTTCTTATCTGCCGTCACATTCTATGTTTCTATGTTTCTAGAGAGCTTCCTAAGTGGAGGCAGCCACCCGGGAGAGGTGCGAGTCCAAGCGGAGACCCTGGGGCTGTAAGTCAGCTTCACAGCCTGAAAGTCCCTCCGACCAATCAGGAGAAGGAGCTCCCATTCAAACTGGGTTCATGCCATTCTCCTGATGGGTCGGAATGAGTAAGCGCCGATTGGTCGCTGCGGGGCGCAGGCGGCCAATCAGAGGAGGAGTGCCTATTCAAACTGGAATTTCACGCCCATTCTCCTGATTGGCGCGATTAGGTTCGCGCCCTTTTTCCGGATTGGCTGTTGCTTGGTTTGGGCACGAAGTTTGAATTGGACTAAACCAAGCAATGCTGTGGAACTAATTGCAGGGACGTACAGAGCCTCAAGCCCCCGACTTTATACAATGATTTCTCGGGCTCTGTAGCCATTCTATTTGCAGGGATCCTAGTTGGAACCCGGGGCTATCCAGCGATATAGATTTTACATGGGTGACCCCTTCCCTTCCCGGGGCGCAGAGCCCCTAACTCTCCCCCCTCCCCCCCCGTGTGTAATATGTTTTAATGTATCTCCCAGGGTGGGAGATGGTTATCTGTAACCCATCCCCCTTCTCCTGCCTGGGACAAAGGATTGTGTTGAACTGAATATAGACGCCCTGCAGGGGCCTGTGCTTAAAAAGCTGTTTGCACCAATAAAGGATTGTCGGTGTTTTTTGACCTCCAGAACTGTGTGGCGTCCAGTTACTGGGGGGAAAATGGATGCCTGCTTGTTCTAAGGGTTCCTGAATGGCTGAAGGTGACCAGTTGGGTTACCAGGGGGTCTGCTACAATGTACACACAGCGCACGTACACTTGTTATATATACATAGTGCACGTGCACTCAGTATATACAAAGCACGCCGACATCAGCAATTAATCATTCTTGCTAATGATTAGTAACATTTCCCTAAATTATTATTAGAAAAAATTATTATTCTTGTTAACTTTTATTTTTTAAATATTGTATTTAGCAGATTAGGAGAAAATTACAGCCACATTTCTTTCTTTTTAAATGTGTTTCCAGGTGATCAGAGTGACCAGCGCCTGGCTCTTCATAACATTGCAAAAATGGTCCGTCCTGGTGGAATATTAATTATTGACCATCGCAACTATGACTACATACTGAGCACAGGGCGTGCACCTGAGGGCAAGAATATTTATTACAAGGTAATACTGCAACGCTAGGATTAGAATATCTACCGCAACGCTAGGATTAGAATATCTACCTCAACGCTAGGATTAGAATATCTACCGCAACGCTAGGATTAGAATATCTACCGCATCGCTAGGATTAGAATATCTACCGCATCGCTAGGATTAGAATATCTACTGCAACACTAGGATTAGAATATCTACTGCAACACTAGGATTAGAATATCTACCGCATCGCTAGGATTAGAATATCTACCGCAACTCTAGGATTAGAATATCTACTGCAACACTAGGATTAGAATATCTACCGCAACACTAGGATTAGAATATCTACCGCAACGCTATGATTAGAATATCTACCGCAACGCTAGGATTAGAATATCTACCGCAACACTAGGATTAGAATATCTACTGCATCGCTAGGATTAGAATATCTTCCTTGTATGTACGTAGCGGGGAATTACGATGCCACATAAATATAGATAACCCCAATAAAAAAAAACCAATAACGACAGACAACTTAGTATGGATGAACAGGCCACAGCATTTATTATCACAAACTAAATTACTGCATAACACATCCATAACTTTATTTATTAAACTCTTCTTTCTGTTAAAAATAAATAATCATAAATTAACATATATACATATAATAACTAAAACATAGTGCTATGCAGAGACCCAACCATCCTTGCCAATAAACATCCAGTGGTTCCTAATCACCACTTCCTCTCACCTCTCCCCTCATCATAAAAAATCCTTCCAATGCCCGCCATCAGCCGACCTTATCCACGCTCGATGGGCACGATACCTCAGGCAACCTAATGTTTAACCTTTTGAAGCAGGGGAGGTTGAGACCTGCAAAACATAAAAACTTACTCCATCCTTAAACATAACCCTTCAAACTTAATTGGCAAGGACATTACCCCGCCTAGCTGTGACTAACTGAAACTACAAAGGGGTGGGTGGGAGGGAAGCTGTTTGCTGGCCCGTATCCCAAGTGGCACTGAGGTAAGACCTCCCCCACACTAACTCACATTAAACCTAACCCCTCCCACACACACTTCCCAAGTCACTCCCCTGAATCTATCCCCACACTCCTACATGTGTCCACTTAGCTGCGCTATCTCCCCATCGCTAGGATTAGAATATCTACCGCAACTCTAGGATTAGAATATCTACTGCAACACTAGGATTAGAATATCTACCGCAACACTAGGATTAGAATATCTACCGCAACGCTATGATTAGAATATCTACCGCAACGCTATGATTAGAATATCTACCGCAACACTAGGATTAGAATATCTACCGCAACGCTAGGATTAGAATACCTACCGCAACGCTAGGATTAGAATATCTACCGCAACACTAGGATTAGAATACCTACCGCAACACTAGGATTAGAATATCTACCGCAAGGTGAGAATAAATAGTGTATTAATAGTAAAGTGTTACCAAGATGTAAATTGTATAATTAAAAATGAAAACAAAGGTTCACTCACATGAAATTAGATTTAATAAATTTCAATTATCAATGCAGGTGCTAAGGATTAAAAAAAAGAATAAAAATAACACAACTTTTTAAGAACTGAAAAATAAAAACTTTATATTACTATATACCAGCGTGAAAGTGGTGTATTAATATAACACACTTATATGTAAGATTGTAAAAGAGAGTTTAAACATCATATCCAGAGTTAATCTGTAAAACCCACTCATCAACAAAGGTTTTTGGCTGTGACCAAAGCAGTGAAAGATGGTGGCTGTATTCTTTATACAATTAGTTCAGTTACAGGATGCGGCTTGACCGCTGATGAAGACAGATGCATGCTTCCTGAGTGCCCTAAAGCATGTTTACAGCGATAATTCTTAACTTTTCTCACGTCGAACTAGCCCTGCAGCAGTACCTTGACAAGAAATGACAATTAATTCTTCAAAATTGACCAGCAACAAGACCTCTTTTCTGTCACAACCACAAGCCATGGTGTAGCGGAGATGCAATATTCCCCAGGTTATCTCCGCTTATAATCCAAGTGAGGCTCAGGAACAAGTAAATTGTAAATCCACAGGCAAGGTTTTCAGCAGGTAAAATAACAGCAATATCCCAAAAGCAATCCCAATAACTGGACGACACACAGTTTCAGGAGCAGAACTGAAAGCTTTATTCCACACTGGCCTTTTAAAGCATGCTCCCATGCAAGGGAGGGATTACATTAATTAATACAGTAGCCAATCCTGTCCTGGTAACCTCCCACACATCTCCTCCCCTCAGCCAGCATCATAATCCCCTTATCCAGTACAGCAATTCCCCCCGTTTCTGGATGTACCCCTAAACGTAGGGGTACCCCTTTAAATCATACATCCCCTGGTAGCCCTGATCTGGGTGAACAACATATCCAAAAATCACCCAGATCAGACCAGGGGTTCGGGAAATTTATGGAGGGAATAAAATGACCAACCACACTGAGTGAAACAGCCGAATGCGGTTCCATGTGAATGGGCCCTGCGGTCGGTCCTGGAGTCAGGGAATGAATGGCATGAAAACCTCTAGCTATAGAGGCTAGGGAGGGTTCGCCTGAATCCCCTCGTTCGGTTCTTTCTATCTACCGAACGAGGGGCCGTTCGGTAGTTAGGAACCGAACGGACCGGGCTTGTGGAGGTTTCAGCGGTGTTCGCCTAGTCGAGTGTCCGATTTGAGTTCCAGACACTCGACGGCAAAACACCGCTGTTCGGGAGGTTTAAAATGGCCGCCACCATGTGTTCGTTTGTCGAATGGCGGCCACACCCGAGAACAAAGGACGGCTACTTAACTTGTCAGTTACCCGTTCGCAACAATGTTGCAACGGATAATTGAGGACACAATTCACACAGGGGAGGTCTGATTGTTCGGTAGTTTCATTCCCTTAGTTTATTCGAATGATTCTACTGAACAATCAGAGGAATACAATTCTTTTAAACACATATAAAACCAGCAGTTTACACGAATGCAACTATTCACAAGACATTTGCAGGACAGCCCAGTGCCATCCGCTACACATGGATTTTTAAGGGTGGATAAATTACAATTTACCCTTAGGCAGGTTTGCAGAAAATCTTGAAGGATATTAAATTGGAGGCTAGCATTTCTGGATACGGCGGGGTACTATAAGAATTTTATCCGAGACTATAGTGCCATAGCAAAGCCACTGACTGACCTGACCAAAAACATACCTCCATCAAGTGTCAGACTGCCTTCCAACAGCAAGGCCTAGACTGGCCATCAGGCACACCGGCAAATGCCCAGTGGGCCACCATGGGCCAAGGCTGACAGGGGAGATCATTTTGATGCGGCCGGTGAGAGGAGGAGCCGTAAGCCAGAAGGTTCCTCCCGAGAGCTCGGCAATTCATAGTGTTCCCGGGGATTACCATGGCAACGCTACAAGGATCTCGCTGGATGAGTGAACTCTGCCTGCAGCAGGCAGTCTAGAGCATCTCCACCACACCACCAAAGCAGGGAAAAGGAAAAGGTAAAATGAACGGAGAGGGGACATAAAGTTCATGTATGTATGATTTTTCAACACAGGGATCCCGCGAACAGAGACAGTTCGTGACAGGGGCCATGTGAGGGTCCCTGAGGTTGGTGTGGACACTTTTGGGGCACTGGCGAGTTCGGCGGGCTTTGTGGTGCCTGCTTAGACAAAGAGACTAGCTCTTTTGCCGCGGGCGTGCCTGAGACACAAAGGGATGGTCCCTTTTTCCCGCGCTTGGTCTCCCAGGTACAGAGGCTCATGGGACGAAGACCCCCCCGTCCCCGGATTTGGGAAACCCTGTGTTTGGGTGGCAGGCTTTTGGAGACAAAGGGACAAAGCTCTTCCCTGCTTTAGATTCCCGGGTATGGGGAGGATCCTGGGAGTGGACATTGTATGCTGTGTGGTACACCCTGTTACAAAAGACTCGAAATGACTCTGTTATTGTTAATACATGTTGCTACTGTTACAACTCTATACGTTTAAGCCGAGGATACACGAATGGATTACACAAACTCTTATAAAGACCGTGATACGAGATACGTGATACGAACAAGGGACCGAGATACGTGATACGAACGAGGGACCCCCCAAATGCTGGCATGTGCCGCCAATTAACCTTGTCACCCCGCAAAGTACCGAACAGTCGACCACCCGACCAGCGGAGTGTGGCGGCCATTAACCACCCATGCGGCTGCGGTCTGCGGTTAACCACAGACTAATTGACGGGTCTGGGGGATAGACGTTCGTACCCAAACCACCGAAGGGAACCTACCGAACAACCTCACGAACGGAGACCCCCTACAGTGGGTCCTGTGGCAGCAATTAGCCTGTGGTTTCTGCAGTTAACCGCAACTTAAGTACCATGTTACCAGGTGATCCTAATTCATGTACCGAACGAGTTCCACTACCAGGCAGACAGCGGGGATTCGCATGAACCTATACCCAAGTTTAGTTCCACAAGTTGGAGGCGAGGTCCCGCTGCCCATTAAACCGTCTGAAAACATGGCCGCCATCAGAAGCTCACGATCCAAAATGCCGAACGGACTTTATACGGCAGAAATAGCCCATTCTGTTCGTGGGATTGAAGCGCCATTCATATGTTTAATGTACCCGAACGCAAGCTATTAAATGAATGGTAGAATGAGCTGTTTTCCTCTATTAATGTTAAAGTTATGGATTTTTATACAGTTTTATGGGACATAATAAAACGTGGTCTTTTGTGCGCTTGGAGATAATTAGATTGTATAACCGTTGGCCTCATTATCTCCAAGCTGGGCGGGTACTAATTCAAATGATACACTGTACTGTGATTGGTTACCTGTTTGTACTGTACCTGTATTCCATCAGGTCCACAGGGGGCTGTCCTTGGACCTGAGGAATCGCATAAATTGCCATGTTGTATGCCAGTAAAGCCAGTTCGTTTTGACCCTCAACTTTCAGCCTCGACTCATGTTGTAGGGATCCGGGATATTGGTGCTTATACCGTGTTTGGGATATTCTACACTTGCAGCTCATTACCGAAGGACCTCCGGTCGACTCTCTACAGCAGGAACCAGGAGCTCTAAGCGATCAACCCCACTGCTAGACCGGGGGCAATCGTAACACACCCCTTGCCTGGAGTTATGCTTAAAAGCCGTGTGTGGCCAATAAAGTGTTGTTGTACTTCCAGAACTGTGTCGTCCAGTTACTGGAGGAAAATTGGGTCTCTTTGCGGCCCACAACTAATATGTTTGTGGCCCGCAGCAAGGGAGCTCTGAGTGTAAGCTCTCCCTACTCATCTCCCCGCAGTGATGCCGGGTGCCGGAATATGACGTCACTCCGGCTCCCGGAATCACTCTGCGGCTCGCAAGGGAGGTGAGCAGGGAGAGCTTACACTCAGCGCTCCCTCAATGCCTGTCCGCCCCCAGCCTCCATGCCCACTTGCCCAGCAGCCCCACTAGACCCCAGGTAAGAAATCCACCAAGCTCTCCCAAAGGTAGGGAGGCTGGGTAGATTTAAATTAAAAAAAAAAAATGAGTGTTGGGTGTAAATGTGTGTTTGTGTGTGTGTGCGCATGGGTGTCTGTGTCCATGGCTGTGTGTACGGCTGTCTGTGTGCATAGCTGTCTGTATGGCTGTGTGTGTCCATGGCTGTCTGTATGGCTGTTTGTATGGCTGTGTGTGCATGGCTGTTTGTATGGCTGTGTGTGTGTGTGTGTGTGTGTAAATGTCTGGCTGTATGGCTGTCTGTGACTCTGTGTCCATGGCTGTCTGTGTGCATGGCTGTCTTTGTGTGTGTCTGTGTGATTGAGTGTTTGTATGTAAGTGTGTGTCTGTGAGGAAGCCTGTGTGTCTGTCAGTGAATGTGTGTGTAGCAGAACGCCAATATTAAATCCACGAATTCTGCTGGTTCAGGAAGTAATCCACAGTCAAGCGCTGGAAACAACAAGGCAATATCCCAAATCTCCCAGTAACCGGACGAAACACAGTTCTGAGAGTCAACTGAGGTCTTTTATTTCAGCTCCACAATTTATACAAGTCCCCATGCAAGGGGTTTCCTGAGTCCCCTCCCAGGGGCATTTCCAGAGGGGACTACATGGGGGACTTATTGTACAGGGTATTTCTCCCATCAGGCACTGCTGCACAAGAGGGATCCTCCCACTGGAATATACCGTTAAGTGGATTATCCCTCCGTGCAGCAGAACTTACAATTCGTATAAAAATACATAACTCTATGAATATATGGTCTATTTAAATGAATGGACGTTCGGTATATAGCTGGGGTCTGAGCGCATCATTCGTGAGGTTACTGCTCAGATCCCAGCTAAAACAACCGAACGCCGCACGAAAAACACATTTATTAAAAGACATATTAAAATGACCGATTGCCTTCAAGGGAATGAAATACCGAACGGCCTGGAGGCTCAGCGGTGTTCGCGCCGTCGAGTAGCCGTTTTTAGTACCATGCGCTCGACGACCTAACACCGCTGAGGGAACAAAGGATCCAAGATGGCCGACCGCCGCATGGTCGGTAGTCGAACGGCGGCCACCTAGGAGAGCCTCTAATTACCGATTGCAACATTGTTGCAATCGGTTAACAAGCGCCACACGCCTCTAAGTGTGTGGGCTACTATATGGAGTGTTTTCGTTTCACGAACGGCCTGCAAAAGTGCCGTTCGTGAAACGAAAGAAAAACCCAATACAAATAGCTATCTGCATTCGGCAGATAGCCAATACAGGAAATACAAGGTATTACAGCCAGCATACATTATCAAAGATCTATTGTAGTGAGATACTGACCTCTGGCCATCTTATCTAGCAGTTTTTCATCACAGCTACTTCCACAACCCCCTCCCCAGCACCCCAGTTCAAATGCACCTTGGCAGTGGGTAGACGGTACATGGCTCCCCCTGCCACCCTGACTGCCACCGATCCGCCAGTGTGGGCCGTATCCGGAACCAAATGTGGAGCAAACAGGGTTAAAGTGGCTCCCGAGTCCCTCAGCCCCTGTACTTCTTTCCCCCCCACAAACACAACTTGACGGTGATGCTGCCTGTTGTCCGTGGCTTGCACAGACATCACCTCATACAAAACCCCCAGAGGTTCCTCGGTCTGCAGGCTCATCAGCTCGGGGTTGTCCGGTTCTGCGTGGTAATAATGTGCTGCTGCCCTTGGGGTGGAATTCTGCTGAACTTGGTTCCACGCCTGTCTACTCCGATTCTGGGTGCACTCCCGGGACATATGCCCCCACTGATGGCAGGTATGGCATTGGATGTTTGCTCTGCCATTGTAGCGGGATGGTGGTGGGGGTTCCCTTGTGCTGGCCGGAATGGAGCGGAGTTGGTTGGTGCGGAGGTGGTCGGGTGGTGCTGTACAGGTGGTCTCAGGGAACCCTTGTTGGTGAGCCCATGATGCCTCCTGGCATCAAAGTGTTGATCCGCCAACCGGGCGGCTTCCGTTAGGGTGAGGGGTTTTCTGTCCCTTACCCATTCTTGTGCCTCTGGTAAAAGTCCGTTAAAGAACTGCTCCAGCAAAATTAGTTGGCGCAGTTCCTCCATGGTGGTGGCTTGGCTGGCCTGAATCCACCCTTGCGAAGCTTGGTCAAGCTTATTTGCCCACTCAGCGTGGGAATCTTTTTCAGGCTTCCGCAATCCCCGAAATTTACGCCGATATGCCTCCGGTGTGATGGCATACCTCTCTAGGATTGCCCGTTTTACTTTAAAGTAGTCCTTGCTGTCCTCTCTGGGGACAGCGCGATAGGCCTCTGCTGCCCGCCCTGCCAACTTGCCTGCTAGCAGGGGTACCCACACTGCCTGCTCCAGGTCGTGTAGGTCACATAGCCGCTCGAAATCCTGCAGGTACCCGTCAATCTCATCCTTCTCCTCACAGAATGCTTTAAATGCCTGGTACGGTATTTTCTGTTTCACTGGAGCGCAGAATGAATTGGCGATGGATTCTGCCCTGGATGGTGCCCCCTGGTGCTGTTGCGCCATAATGTAGTCCTGTACGTCTGCCATCAGGACGGTCAAGATGTCAAGGGGTACTGGCTGGGGTACAAATTCCAGCCGGGTTCTCAGTTCCCTCTGCCCTCTGATATGGGGTTTCCTCCCTGGCTGGTGGGGGTGGGCTGCTGTGTGCTCGGTCGCCTTCCATTAGTTCTGCCTTGGATTTATTGCTAGCGCTTTTTCCTCTAGCCTCCAGCAGTTCCTTTAGCGTCTGCCTTTTTAAAGTCGTGTAATCAGTCCCCATTCACTGATCTCTTTCGTCTGTTTGCTGCATACGAATTGCCATTCCCTTTTTCCGTTCGGTTGTTCCTTTCATTCGAATGCGCTGTATTCGGCTGTAGAGTTGGATCCCGTCGCTTGCCACCAATTGTAGCGGAACGCCAATATTAAATCCACAAATTCCGCTGGTTCAGGAAGTAATCCACAGTCAAGCGCTGGAAACAACAAGGCAATATCCCAAATCTCCCAGTAACCGGACGAAACACAGTTCTGAGAGTCAACTGAGGTCTTTTATTTCAGCTCCACAATTTATACAAGTCCCCATGCAAGGGGTTTCCTGAGTCCCCTCCCAGGGGCATTTCCAGAGGGGACTACATTGGGGACTTATTGTACAGGGTATTTCTCCCATCAGGAACTGCTGCACGAGAGGGATCCTCCCACTGGAATATACCGTTAAGTGGATTATCCCTCCGTGCAGCCGAACTTACAATTCATATAAAAATACATAACTCTATGAATATATGGTCTGTTTAAACGAATGGACGTTCGGTAGATAGCTGGGGTCTGAGCGCATCATTCGTGAGGTTACCGCTCAGATCCCAGCTAAAACCACCGAACGCCGCACGAAAAACACATTTATTAAAAGACATATTAAAATGATCGATTGCCTTCCAGGGAATGAAATACCGAACGGCCCTGAACTCCCGAACGGCCTGGAGGCTCAGCGGTGTTCGCGCCGTCGAGTAGCCGTTTTTAGTACCATGCGCTCGACTACCTAACACCGCTGAGGAACAAAGGATCCAAGATGGCCGACCGCCGCATGGTCGGCAGTCGAACGGTGGCCACCTAGGAGAGCCTCTAATTACCGATTGCAACATTGTTGCAATCGGTTAACAAGCGCCACACGCCTCTAAGTGTGTGGGCTACTATATGGAGTGTTTTCGGTTCACGAACGGCCCGCAAAAGTGCCGTTCGTGAAACGAAAGAAAAAGTCAATACAAATAGCTATCTGCATTCGGCAGATAGCCAATACAGGAAATACAAGGTATTACAGCCAGCATACATTATACTTAGTCACACACATATCCCACAACCATACAGGCAACCCTTAAAGGTACAGTCTCTTTATATTGTCCAAGTGGCTAGGTTTGCCACAGTGTGTGTGTGAGTGTATGTGTGTGTCGGAGTGATTCTATGTAAATGTTAGTGTGTGAGGGTTTCAAGGAGTAACAGGAGGATCCGCTTTTTTAAAGGTGCAGATGGGGCAATTGGGGGTAGAACTGCTTGTTGGCTAATGTTTTTTATTTTTAAAACAAGGGAACAGGTTTAGTAGACGTGGGGACTGGGATTTAGTAGACATGGGGGGACTAAGATTTAGTAGACGAGGAAGGGACTGGGATTTAGTAGCCAAGGAAGGAACTGGGATTTAGTAGACAAGGAGGGGCTGCGGTTTCGTAGATGAGGGAGGGCTGGGGTTTAGTAAAAATGAGACAGAGTGTTTAGTAGAGGGGGTCGCTAGGGTTTTTTTTTATACTGTACTTTTCAAAATAAACCTGCGTTTCTATGAAAACTTAAGTTTTTTATTTTTTGCGGACCACATAAATGTAACCCTTGTTTATTTGAGTTTATTTTGGGAAGAGAAATAGTGGAGTTAACTGGTCAGGTTACCAGGTGATCCGCTACAATTTTGTTTTTTGTTTATACTCGGACAACATGGTCTTGCACCGCTCACATGCACCCACATATCATACACATACCATACACATATAGGTATGCCTAGATGGCAGATACAAGAAAAATGGATAAAAACAGGGGGTAGATGCAGCGCTTCAGTAATCCTTGTCACGGTATATGTGAAGAGAACCAGAGAAGAAATAATAGTGTAGTATTTAAAACTGTAGTGGTGATAAGTAAAATAAAAGATGTGCACTCACACTTTCCTCGAGCTTCAATACAGCTCCAGTGTATGCACCTGTGTGGAATAATCCCCGCCTATGGATCAAGTGCAGAGGCAGTTCTTCGAGTTATAGGTGTGGTAGGGGGTATTCTCATAAAAACAAACAAATAAAAATCGTATATGGTGAAGTATGTAGAGCTATGAAGCAAGGGTAGCAAAACCTGGCTCCTCTGATAGCGCTTGAATAGTGATGTCGCGAACCCGAAATTTTCGGTTCGCGAATGGCGAACGCGAACTTCCGCAAATGTTCGCGAACCGGCGAACTGCCATAGACTTCAATGGGCAGGCGAATTTTAAAACACACAGGGACTCTTTCTGGCCACAATAGTGATGGAAAAGTTGTTTCAAGGGGACTAACACCTGGACTGTGGCATGCCGGAGGGGGATCCATGGCAAAACTCCCATGGAAAATTACACAGTTGATACAGAGTCTGGTTTTAATCCATAAAGGACAGAAATCACCTAACATTCCTAAATCACAATGAATATGGATTGACACCTGACATATGACATATTGACACCTTGACATATGGATTGACACCTGTCCTCAGAGCCCCTGATGCACACGGACACAGAGCAGAATAGAGACTGTTCCCCCTACATAGGGTCACTTGGCAGGTATGGATTGACACCTGTCCTCAGAGACCATGATACACACTGACACAGAGCAGAATAGAGACTGTTGTTGGGGATTGCCTTTTGTGAAAAGAAATTTCGGCCGTGTACCTTCCACTGTAGTGTCCCAATAGCTACAAATTTTTTGAACGCCTCAAACTCCACCAGCTCGTATGGTAAAAGCTGGCGGGCTAATAGTACAGCCAAACAAGCTGTCAGACGCCGGGCAAGGGGGTGACTTTCTGACATTGGCTTCTTACGCTCAAACATGTCCTTGACAGACACCTGACTGTGGGCAGATTAGCAGGCCTGACACACAGACGCTTGGAGACAACTAACTGCTATTCAATCTATAACAGTGAAAAAAGTTTTTGGGTTTTAAATGCACGCTATTGTGACACCAGATATGAGTGGCAAAGTACACGTGCAGAGGTCTGCAGAGCACACGCTGAAGGAGGCCTGACACCCGCTTTAAGGACACTGACTGCTATTAGCTTACACTGAAAAACTTTTTTTCTTTGTAAAAGCACGCTATAGAGACACCAGATATGAGTGGTAAAGTACACGGGCAGAGGTCTGCAGAGCACACGCTGAAGGAGGCCTGACACCCGCTTTAAGGACACTGACTGCTATTAGCTTACACTGAAAAACTTTTTTTCTTTGTAAAAGCACGCTTTAGAGACACCAGATATGAGTGGCAAAGTACACGGCAGAGGTCTGCAGAGCACACGCTGAAGGAGGCCTGACACCCGCTTTAACGACACTGACTGCTATTAGCTTACACTGAAAAACTTTTTTTCTTTGTAAAAGCACGGTATAGAGACACCAGATATGAGTGGCAAAGTACACGGGCAGAGTTCTGCAGAGCACACGCTGAAGGAGGCCTGACACCCGCTTTAAGGACACTGACTGCTATTAGCTTACACTGAAAAACTTTTTTTCTTTGTAAAAGCACGCTATAGAGACACCATATATGAGTGGCACACGCTGAAGGAAGCCTGACGCCCAGACGCTTGCAGACAACTAACTGCTATTCAATCTATTACAGTGAATTTTTTTTTTTCTTTTTAAATGTCAAGCTTAAGCTATTGTGACACCAGATATGAGTCGTGGCACTGGGCAAATGGGCACAGTATCCACTGTGAGCCTGACACAGAAGCTGCCAGACAAGTAACTGCTATTCAATCTATTACAGTGAAAAAAGTTTTTTGTTTTTAAATGCAAGCTATTGTGACACCAGATGAGTGAGTGGTGGCACTGGGCAAAGTATCCACTGTGAGCCTGACACAAAGCTGGCAGCAGTGGCAGACAACTAACTGCTATTCAATCTATAACAATGAAAAAAGTTTTTTGTTTTTAAATGCAAGCTATTGTGACACCAGTGAGTGAGTGGTGGCACTGGGCACAGTATCCACTGTGAGCCTGACACAGAAGCTGGCAGCAGGAAGACAAAACTAACTGCAATTACATTACACAGAAAAAAAAAAAAAAGCAGACTGATGTTCTAGCCCTAAAAAGGGCTTTTTGGGGTGCTGTCCTTACAGCAGAGATCAGATGAGTCCTTCAGGACTGTAGTGGACACTGTATACCCTAACCTAGCTATGCATTTCCCTATCTAATCAACAGTAGCTACACTTTCCCTCCTCTCACTAAGCATGCAGCTTGAGAATGAATCTAAAATGGATGCTGTCCAGTAGGTGGGAGGGTCTGCTAGGGAGGGTGTGCTGCTAATTGGCTGGAATGTGTCTGCTGACTGTGAGGTACAGGGTCAAAGTTTACTCAATGATGACGAATAGGGGGCGGATCGAACCGCGCATGCTTTTTCTGCTAACCTGCCTTTCTTGTTGTGCTATAAATGGACTAGTTGCTGTCTTTTTCTACTCTCTTATTTGTTATACTTTGTATTGCAATATTCTCAATAAACACTTTAATTACAAAAGGGAGCATATCATCAAAAAAAAACAGATAAGCACAATGCAGCTCATTGAAACACACAACTTGATCAGCAGGTCCACCCATAGATAAAGATAATATTTTTACTATGCATTGGCACCCTTCATAATTGTTAATTAAGATGCATTCTTTATTTTAATTTCTCCAACTGTGCTCTATACTGAGATTAATATCACTGATGATATTTGAACAGCCAAGGGTTTTGCATTAAAAAAAGGGATCTTATTGGAAACATTTTGACACAAAAACATTTAAGAGTTCCCTGCTATATTTTGATCACATAGACCTCAATTAATTTCTATTGGCAAAAAAGTTGATAATCATTGACTTTTTTTGGTTGATTTATTTGAATTTCATATCAGCTAAAATTCAAGCAGCCAAACAGAGCAGTTTGAGATAAAAGCCAGGTTTTATTGATTAACTCATTATTTGTAAAAAAGCCTATGGGGGCAATAAAATAAACCAAATAATTAAAAGTCCCACGCAAGTATTGACAAAAGTGAGATATACTTGACTAGTGTCTCTGACTACCTCTCTGCTGTTTCTAACTGGATGGCTGCCCACTTCCTTAAACTAAACTTGACCAAAACTGAAATTCTGGTCTTTCCTCCCTCAAGTGTTGTTACTCCTGTGTCTGTCTCCCTCCAAGTCAACGGTGCTACCATCAGCTCCACCACGCAGGCCAGCTGCCTAGGTGTTCTCTTTGACTCCGACCTCTCCTTCAAGCCTCATGTTCAATCTATCGCCAAATCCTGTCATTTCCCTCTCAAAAACATTGCGCGCATCCACCCCTACTTAACGCCAGATGCGACTAAGGTGTTGGTCCATTCCACTGTCCTTTCTCGCCTTGACTACTGTAATCCGCTTCTCAGTGGTCTTACATGCTCCCAACTTGCGCCGTTACAGTCCATAATGAATGCGGCGGCGAGGCTCATCTTCCTGTCCGCCCGCACCTCCCATGCCTCACCCTTCTGTCAGTCCCTACATTGGCTTCCTATAAAATATAGAGCTCAATTTAAAATTCTGGTTCTTGCTTTCAAATCTCTACATAATGCTGCTCCCACCTATCTATCCTCCCTTATACACAAGTATGTCCCGTCTAGGCCCTTACGATCTGCTGAAGACTTACGTCTATCTTCTGTCCGTACTCCCACCTCTGATGCTCACCTTCAAGATTTCTCGAGGGCTGCACCGTTCCTGTGGAACTCGCTTCCCTCCTCCGTTAGATGCTTACCCAGTCTCCACTCCTTCAAAAAATCGTTAAAAACCCACTTCTTCATAAAAGCGTATCGATTAAACTGTTAATAGCTCCTGACTGATTCCTCTTCTGCAACTGTCACTAGTCTAATACTATCCTTACCTTTTTGTGTCATTTTACCCCACTCCCTCTAGCATGTGAGCTCATTGAGCAGGGCCCTCAACCCCTCTGTTCCTGTGTGTCCAACTTGTCTGGTTACAACTACATGTCTGTTCGTCCACCCATTGTAAAGCGCTGCGGAATTTGACGGCACTCTATAAATATCATAATAATAATAATATACCTTTCAAAGTGCTCGGAAGGAGCATATGTAGTGTGAGAGATCTCTTTTCCAGCTCATTCTGCATGGAACCTTCCATGGATGGGCTTACATGGATTAATTATTTTTAATTTGTCAATCTGTATTTTTATTGAGGCATGTGCCAAGCAAGAAGGAGTCTAAATAGTATTTGATACAGAAGGACAAGCTTAGTAAATCTATGCAGTCGTGAACACATCAACATTGATATACCAAGTTGGATAACTCCTAGGCAAGATGGCCTATTTTTTTTTTTTTTTTTTAGAAAGAAATAATAACACAAGTTTAATTTGCATGACAAACATAAATTGAACTAGTGAATTGTGTGTGTGTGATCAAAGATGCCATGAACACTATCAATATTCAGTGTAGTTATGAACACCGCCATGTAGAGGTGAAAGCCCAACTGATTCCTCATGTCTAGCAGGTCCAGCCTATTCGCAACCAGGCTTAATTCGCAATTATTTAAAGGGAATGCGATGGGCGCTAGTGATTTCAGGGTAGCAGATATTTAAGTTGTAGGCCCATAACAAAGGGGGAAGCAGGGGGAGGGAGTTGGGAGGCCCTTTAGCAGGGTTCTTGTATCTGCCAATCACACAAAAATAAATTCAGCGCGGAAGAAAAGTGATAAGTCCAAAAGCAGCTTGAACACCAATACGGAGTCTCTCTTTTCGATCAGAAAACTGGATAAAAACAGGGGGTAGGTGCAGCGCTTCAGTCATCCTTGTCACGGTATATGTGAAGAGAGCCAGAGAAGAAATAATAGTGTAGTATTTAAAATTGTAGTGGTGATAAGTAAAATAAAAGATGTGCACTCACACTTTCCTGGAGCTTCAATACAGCTCCAGTGTATGCGCCTGGGCGGAATAATCCCCACCTATGGATCAAGTGCAGAAGCAATTCTTTGAGTTATAGGTATGGTAGGGGGTATCCTCATAAAAACAAACAAATAAAAATTGTAAATGGTGAAGTATGTAGAGCTATGAAGCAAGGGTAGGTAAAAACTACATTATGAATGCTTTCCTATGCGACCGGCTGAATGTGCGCGCAGCTAGCCGACTGGGCGGAACGGAGGAGGAGAGAAGGAGGAGAGCTCCCCGCCCAGCGCTGGAAAAAGGTAAGTTTTTACCCCTTTCCCCCTTTCCAGAGCCGGGCGGGAGGGGGTCCCTGAGGGTGGGGGCACCCTCAGGGCACTATAGTGCCAGGAAAACCAGTATGTTTTCCTGGCACTATAGTGGTCCTTTAACATTGGCAAGAGTATGTGCACAATTTTTTAAATATAAGCAAGATCAATATAACAGGTTTAACAATGGAGAAATGTTACTGCAATGTAGGTTAGCATGTGTGTGAACTAGGTTGCTTTGCTGTATACTACTGCAGTATTGTGAGTGCTTGAAAAACTAGGCCGGTGCTTTAATCATAAGGATCAGCAGACCTGAAGAGTATTAGTTAAGTAGATTAGATAAGTAAGTGAGTAGTCTCGCTGTACTGAAAGGTTAGTACAGTTAACCCTCTTAATCAAAGCTGCATTATACATATTAACACAGGACTCCTAGCTTCAGCATCATTAGAATCATTGTGGAAATCACAATTTGTCAATATGCATGTAGATGTCAGGATAATGGTGACATGGTCAGAGACAGGTTTAGTAATGATCACTGCATGACATGCTTGTCTGGCATTAACTCTTCTAGAAATGCAAGATGGAGGATTACGGTCTAATAGAGAGTGGGTGCTTGTTACAGAGTAGATAGGCTAGGTAGTATGCAATGCCTCTCTATACGTGGGACATGAGGGGAGATGTTAAAATAAAGGAAAATTAAACACGAATATAACATATAGCTAGTGTCTGCTAAGTTAACACCACTAGGACTCCCACACCCATCATTACCAATGGCAAAACATGCGAGGGCAAGTTCGTTGGTGTCCGGGCTCATGATGTTCGGTACGTTTTCCGTTAGCCCACTTCCAAGGCCAGGAAGCACAAGTCCAGTGTGTATAAGGTCCCAATGCCCATGCTGATTATCAGAATGTAATATGGAGATTGAGTCCTGGTAGCCTCTAGGCAGGTAAAGGCTCTCCTACCCCAGGCCGTCCTGAAGGCCTGCATCCCAGTACCACAGGCTCAGTTGCTCGTAAATGAGGCCAAGTCTCTCCCTGTTGGGATCCCGCCAAAGTTCCTGTTGGTCTGTTGCAGCTTGTGCCAGTGGACCCACAGCCTCCGTGGTTGATGCCTAGGTAGGTGTAGGGTGAGTGGCTTAGATGCTTGAGAGTGAGTTGTGCTTGGAATGGTCCCACCCCACTCCCGCTTTGCTCTGCTGCTCTGCTCCTCCTGGTCTCATGCCGGTGAGTCTGCTAGTCGTGCTTCCAGTTGCGCCCAGAAGTGTGTAAAGTGCTCGTCTATGCGCTGTATCATGCGATCTATAGGGTATTGTTGGGCCACCGTGTGTTGCTGCTGATCATGGGTAGGGTCGGGACGTGCCTGCGCCATCTTGGATCTGCAGTGAGCAGTGCCTGTACCGTTCCAGTTGCCTGTTTGTGCCGAGTTGTGTGGGTTCCAACCGTGGGGACTGGGATAACCCCCACCGGTCCAAAGGGGGGGGGTCTGCGGTATCCAGCATGGGGAAACCGGCCATGTCTCCCCAGCTCTGCTGCTGCCAGGACTCAATTTACTGTTGCAGTTCCCGGTGGTTTTGAGCCTCACTTCGGGTATCTAACAGTGTGGTAGTGTGTCCCCCTTCTGGAGGGCACCTCAGATTCAGGTTTGTCGCCCTGTAGTTCAAAATGTTGCAGGAAAACTGCAGGCATTTGCAGGAGCTCGAGTTAGACACGTCTTGTCTGTTTGCAGGTCAGGCTCCGCCCCCCAAAAAGTCCGTTTTTAAGATTAAAAAGAAATTGCACAGACAACATTACTTTTAATGCACAAGCTCATGTGGAAGTAGACAAAAATATTACCAGGTTCAATAAAAAGCGTTTAATTGACCATTACAATACACAGAGATATCTCATGGAGATTGGCAAGAAGCAATCTAACATCATGTTACAATTCCTCATATTTTATACATATGACCCGGAACCGGCCTTTCGTTTAGCTTGAATCAGAACTCCAAATATGGTCTTATTTCCTATTGGCTAAATTCTAGCATAACTGACAAATTTAAGGTTCAAAAGTTTAAGCATCCCATGATCTTTCTAACAGATGACTTGACCACAGTCATGCGTCTTACTTCGCTAAAATATCGCTTGTCTATGATAAAAGTTAACACATATAAGACTTCCTCTTTCACAACTTAAACACACATTTCACCTTTCCCCCCTGGCAACATCTGACAAGACACGCTTTCAAAATAACCTTTCCTTTTGCAATCCAAAAAACAGTCCAGACATCCATTAATAAATTGTAGCAATAAAACATAGTTTCTTCTTATTTCTTAGAGTAAATATTCTTCTTTGATTATATTTTTAGATGATGAATAAACAGCAAAATGGCTGACAGCATGTCAGTAGCAGGTTACATATGTTCACAGTCCTCCCTTTGGTGCTAGGACTTTCACCACAAAAAGCTCCGTGCAACACTTCCATGTTTAGCGAAGGTCATTCAGTGAGCTAGTGATTTTAAACAGCACTTGCAGGACTTTCCATATAGATGCGCACACGATCAATATCTTCAGAGAAAGCATGTCTGTATTCCAAGTCGGTATGAGTTGTGACCGGATAGGAGACATTTCAACATTCGAAATTGTGCCAGGGGGAGATGAAGGTGAACAGCTCTTGAGGATTAATCGGCACGAACACTTTAGGACATTCACTGCAACATATATAAACACAAGCATCAATACTACTAAAATAACTCCAATAAGAATACGTTTTCCCATTGTTCCCAACCAATTAGTTAAACCAAAACTCCAGTCAAAACCCCAATTTAAACCTCCCGAAGAAGTATCATGAACTTCTCTAAGTTTAATTTGTACTTCATGCAATTTATCTACATCTGTATGAATCTGACCAGTAACATTATCTATCTTTAAACAACATCTTGTTTTTATTAGTGCACAAACACCACCTTTGGAGGCCAACAAATAATCTAGGGCGAACCTATTTTGCATAATCATAGCTGAAGCTTGTTCCTGTTCTGCAGACAATTTTTCAATAGCATCTCCTGTATTATTAAAGGCTTCATCTAGTATATCTCCTAACAAGTTTAATTTGTACATTAATTCAATAACCCCCCATGTAGGTACAAAACCTGCAAATAGCCTATCTTCTTCACCAGATTTTACAGTTCTTTCGGTTTTATCTTTTTTGGAACTAATAACCTTTCTTTTATTCCTCACCCTTCCTTCAGGCAAATTTTCATGAAGGGTTAACGCTGGGATAATATTACCTAGATAACAAGTTTCCACCCAATTACATGGAAGTCTTTTTACCGCCCAACTACCACATAAATAGTATACCCCAAATGGAAGATGAATATCAATAACACGAGAATCTGAGCAGTCAAAAATAGGTTGATTAATATAGGGCAGTAGCATAAAAAGATTGGAAGTTAAAGTTTGAGTATTAAAGTAGGCCCATCTCAAAATAGTGACATTTAAATGTTCATTCTGGTCATAATTATTATCCATGATTTCTACCTCAGAAGTCAAATTTACCCATACATGATTAGTAATCACCGGGATTCTATCCTTGATGGGACATTTTGTTAAAATATCTTCTAATAAGGGTTTCCAACAAAAAGCTTTCAATCTACCAGTACAAGGGGCAGAATTAGTTTCAGACCCACATAGATTATAAAGGACATTGTTTTCAAAAATAACAATAGCATTGCTTATAGGCTTAACAATCTTGTCAGGACTTTTCTGATCCCTGTTAGAAATTACTACTGCTCTGCTAGTAATGGGATATGTTAAATGAACCTTAGCAGGTTCGCCAGATTTGGATACTTCATTCTGAATAAATCCAACAAACCCCGTTTTATTTGCTCTTACTCTCTCATAAAGACCCATAAAGATTCCATAGACCATGGCACCCCCACAAAAGCATAACCATAGTTCATGGAATGCGGAGCAAACCCACAAACCCAACAATGATTACTTTTGTTTGACAATTTATACAATTCAGTAGCTGTTTTAACGAAATGATTATCTATCTCCCAAGAAGAAAAATACTTGGCTCCCTGGCCCAAGCTACACGTGTATTAAAGAAAAAAAAAAATGTTAATGTAGTGTAGAGGATGAAAAATTAAAAAAATTTCATAATGACAATCATTAAGGACAATATAAGTTTAACCAGTTTGAGATTCATGAAGAAAAACAGTAGAGTTGATTTTGGATTAGAAAGATACTCCCCTTAAAAAGTACCCCTTTTTAGAAGGGAAAACGGCTTCCTTAGTCCTCTATTCTTCTTCCAGTGAAAAAATCTTTTCCAGCGCTTGTCAGTTTACAATGGGAAATGTGGATCCAAGATTTAACCCCTGCGACTTTAACAGCTGAATTAGTGGTTAATAACACTTGACAAGGTTCTTTCCACCTTGGTTGCAACGCGTGCTTTCGTGAATGGTCTTTTATCATAACATAATCTCCAGGAGCGATGGCATGCAAAGGTTGGTATTCACTTGTTCGCTGTACAGCTTTTACCTGTATATAGAGAGACTAATCGTTTTGTTAGCTACATGCAATACGTCATTACTAAATCATCATTTATCTCATGAGAATAACATTTTATAGGTACCCGTCCTGTGAACATTGGTCTTCCCATTAGAATTTCATGAGGGGATAACCCTGCTTTCGAGCTGGAGAGAATCTCATAGACATTAAGGCAAGAGGAAGTGCATTAAGCCACTTTAACTTTGTCTCTGCTACAATTTTTGCAATTTTATTTTTCAATGTTCCATTGGCCCTTTCTACTGCTCCTTCTGACTGAGGATGATGAGAGCAATGTAAATGGTAAGGGATTTGCTAAATTTTTGCTATCTGTTGCACTACTTTTCCTGTGAAATGTGTTCCCTGATCTGAGTAAATGTGCCGAGGCAATCCATACCTGGGTATAAATTCTTGTAACAATTTCTTAGACACTGTAGACAATATCCGCATGGCAACAAGGATAAGCCTCAACCAAACCTGAGAATGTATCTAATATTACTAGCACATACCGATACTGCATTACCTTTGGTAATTCAATGAAATCCATTTGTAAATTTACAAATAGACCTCATGAACAGGGAGGATGATTTAGCTGCTTAATCTTAGGTCTCTGACCTGCATTGTATTGTAAACAAATAACACATGAAGAACACACCAGTGCCAATACAGATTCTAGGCCCAGCCTTGACCATTCAGAATTAAACAATGATGGCAATGCTGGTCTTCCACTAAATATACACTCTCCCCACCAAAATCACTTACTTCTTCTTCCCTCGGTATCACATACAATTCATTTACTTTCAAATGTACCATAGGTTCTGGACCTTGGGTCACTGGTACACTAACAATACATATTCAGACCCCAATCTTCCTCTACATCTAGTCTGTCTTTTTCTTCTAATTGCTTTCTTGCCCCCTTTACCTCCTTGCAATCTGTTGCTATATGACCAAATCCATCACAATTGAAACATTTGATAAATGTTCTTACATTATTCTGTGGGGGTCTTCTGGCTGTGTTTTGTCTTGGCTGATGTGCATAATATCTAACAGGCATTTGTTCAGCTTGTAGCATAACGTGCTCAGCTTTTGCATTTTCCTTGATTTGAATAGCTTGTCAAATTTCTGATGCTGCACTTAATACAATATTAAGTGATTTATCCCGCCATCCCAGTAAGGATAACATCAATTGTTTTTTTACTTTAGCATCCAAACCATTTACTAAGGTATTCACTATGAACGGCTTAATTGATTCAACCGTGATATCTTCAAAACTTCCAAAAACCTTAATTGCTTCCGCATATTCATAGGGGTTTTCTCCTTTCTTTTGCACTATGCTATGTATAGTCAATAGGCTGGGTAAAAACTGTTTTTACTTTGATGCTGAGGAATGCATACCAATTCTTAAGGACAACATCACTCCTCTCATCAGGGCAATTTTCCCATATGTGTGCAACTGCTTGTCCCCCACCCCTGCAGACCATGAAAAAGGTGACTCGTCATATCCTGCCACCCATTTAGTATGTTCTGCAGGGGTTAATACTGTCTCCATTAACTCATTAAGATCTTATGTTGTGGGGAAATAGCTGGCACACATTATTTTTAAATGTTTTACAAACCCATTTGGATCTAGAGGGGGCAGGAAATGATACCTATAAAAATGCTATGTCTTGTGGGCTCCACGGTTGACGAATCCTCCGTGGTCTCCCATCATTATCCATCTGTCCCACTTCTCTAATAGGTAAAATCATAGCCTCACTCCCATCACTCTCAGGCAACACATTGCTACATCCTGATAGTAACCACAGCATGATCAGCAAATCTTTTAGGCAGTCTAATATCCCTCTCAGGTCTACCACCTCAATGCAACATGGCTGAGGCACCAGCTAAATTTTGGGGTACAAGCTGTGGTGCATCATTCATCTGCTGAGGGGAAGTGACCCAAAGAGGGATTCATAATCTCATGATTAATCAAAAAATCCTCATCATTATAAGGCGGAGGATTTTTAACATTTCTTTTTAAATTGTACAGTGAGGGATACAAACAGGCAACACCAGTACCCTCTCCTTTACATGCCCCTCCTGTTGCACCTGACTGGGGGGAACATTCTTGCTTTTTCTTTTCAATTTCCTCATGCCATAACATATATGCAGACCATTCCAGTTTTGAAAGACTTTTTCCATTTAACAACATTGTTCTTAAACTTAACAACACCCAAGGGTCTAATGACCCCACCACTGGCCATGGATTTATATTATTCTTAGTTAACTTTGCCCATTTCTTTGAATACATAATATTTGAAGGGCCATATTTCTGTTTCATTAAATAAACTGGGGAATCACTGGGTATACTATCCCCATGATCAAGCTGCTTGCCATGATTCAACCTCATTTCTGTTACTTGTACTTTTACACACCACTATATCACCTTTTGAGAGATCGAAAGGTCACAATTTTCAGTCTGTATACTGACTGACAACTGGAGTTTACACAAAAATCTCTTCTCAAATGATGTCACAGTTTATCAAACTTTAAACCATATACACACAGTTATGCAATTTTAACACAATACATCTTACTCAAGTGCTACGTTTAACCTATGAGTTTAAACAGTTAATACAAGACAACTTAACTTCACCTTGCTACGTTTAGACTGGGTGAAATTAAGACAATAAAACAAAATAATCTAATCTCGCTTTGCTACGTTTAGACTTGGGAGATTAGATTCATGTGGCTAGCCAATTAATACAAGACAACTCAATCTCACCTTGCTACGTTTAGACTGGGTGAAATTAAGACACTAAAACAAAATAATCTAATCTCGCTTTGCTACGTTTAGACTTGGGAGATTAGATTCATGTGGCTAACCTCAACATTTAGCCACAATCACATGACAGGGATACATCATATCAAAGAGACTCTCACCAACAGAGCTACGTTTAGACTTCTGAAGGCCCACCAAACCCCTATTGGGTCTGCGAAGTTTAGTCACTTAAGTCTTCCTAGGGGACTACCTGTCAGTGCTACCACTGATTCTAGAATCACTCAGACATAGACACTAATACTGCAGTATATTTTACAACATAAACATAAATAGTAACGTTACAAATGGTCAATAAAAGGCTAAGAAATCAGGTCACACAGACTAGCATTTACCTGCACCGTTCTTTGTTTCATGGACACTCAAAAATTACACTAATGCCATGTTTTATAAATGGTATGGCTTACCTTTTATATGACCGGTCTGTTTGAGTGCCCACGAAATGGTTGGCAGGTGCAGGTGTTCCGCTGGTGTCTGTGGTATTCTGATCCCGGACAAAGAGCCCCCAACTGTGGAAGTAGACAAAAATATTACCAGGTTCAATAAAAAGCGTTTAATTGACCATTACAATACACAGAGATATCTCATGGAGATTGGCAAGAAGCAATCTAACATCATGTTACAATTCCTCATATTTTATACATATGACCCGGAACTGGCCTTTCGTTTAGCTTGAATCAGAACTCCAAATATGGTCTTATTTCCTATTGGCTAAATTCTAGCATAACTGACAAATTTAAGGTTCAAAAGTTTAAGCATCCCATGATCTTTCTAACAGATGACTTGACCACAGTCATGCGTCTTACTTCGCTAAAATATCGCTTGTCTATGATAAAAGTTAACACATATAAGACTTCCTCTTTCACAACTTAAACACACATTTCACCTTTCCCCCCCTGGCAACATCTGACAAGACACGCTTTCAAAATAACCTTTCCTTTTGCAATCCAAAAAACAGTCCAGACATCCATTAATAAATTGTAGCAATAAAACATAGTTTCTTCTTATTTCTTAGAGTAAATATTCTTCTTTGATTATATTTTTAGATGATGAATAAACAGCAAAATGGCTGACAGCATGTCAGTAGCAGGTTACATATGTTCACACTCAGATTCTAAAAGATAAATTAATTGAAAAGAAGTAAAATACCCCCACCTTAGACACTCTAATCGAAAATATAGGTACCCTTGAAAGAAATACTCTTCTGGAATATAAACCGAAACAAAAACAAGACATAGTGCTTCCTTTAGTTTTTAATTACAGCAACAAAAGTAACTAAATGAAAAAAATTATCAATAAACATTGGGATATACTTAAGGAGGATGATATACTGAGAAAGATCCTACCGTCCAAACCCAAAATCGTATTCAGAGGAGCTCCTAATCTCAGATCCTTCCTAACTACAAATTACACAAAAATATACTAAACAAAAAAACACTTAAAAAAAAAAAAAAAAAACAAGGTTTCTTCAAATATAAAATGTGTTCGGCATGCAAATACACAGATAATTCTTGTAATAGTACTACTAAATTTAAGTCAAATATCACTAACAAAGAATATAAAATAAATAATTTCATCACCTGTAATACTAAAAATATAATTTACGCATTGGAGTGCCCTTGAGGTCTCCAATACGTAGGCATGACAACTAGAAAATTTAAAACCAGGATAGCCGAACATTGCAGGAAGTGTTTGCTAACCATACAGTGTCCAAACATTTCCAAATACACAATAATAATCCTAAATTCCTGAATTTTTATGCTATAGATCATGGGTCGTCAACCTGGTCCCTACCACGTTTCAGGATTCCAGGTGGGCGGTAGGGATTTCGGCGGCTAAATCCTCTTTTTAAGAGGATATTTCCTTTTGGGCGGGCGTGAGCGGCTCTGCGGGCGCAAGTTTTCAGTGACCGGCAGGAGGAAGTGCTCCCTCCTGCCAGGCCACCTTCTAGACCACCCGGCACGGTAGAGTTCTAATCAGACGCGGTGAGGGAGCTCTAACCTCTCTGCTCTTCTCCCTCGCGGGATGTTTGCATCAGTAGACAGCCCGCGAGGGAGCAGAGCAGAGAGGTTAGAGCTCCCTCGCCGCGTCTGATTAGCACACAGCCGCTCGCCGAAGTGAAGCCCCACCGGACCCCAGGGACAGATCCACACCAGCTCTCCGGGCAGGGAGGCTGGGTGGACATTTAATATTAATAATTTGTGTGTATATGTGTGTGTCTGTAAGTGTATGTGTGTGTCTCTAGGTATATGTGTGTGTGTGTCTCAGTAAGTATATGTGTGTGTGTCTGTAAGTGTGTGTTTGTGTCTGTAAGTGTGTGTGTGTCTGTTTATGTGTGTGTCTGTGTATGTGTGAGTGTCTGTAAGTGCATGTGTGAGTATGTGTATGTTTGTGTGTATGTTTCTATGTGAGTGTGTGTGTGTCTGTAAGTGTATGTGTGAGTGTTTGTCTCTGAGGGTGTGTGTCTGTAAATGTATGCGTGAGTGTGTATGTGTGTGTTTGTCTGTGAGCAGAGTACTTGTAGAATAGAAGAAAGAAGGTGCAGAGTACTTGTAGAATAGGAGAAAGAAGGAGTAGAGTACTTGTAAAAAAGGAGAAAGAAAGAAAGAAAGAAAAGTAAAAGGAGAGAATTGTTGTTGACTAATAATAGTAAGTGGGCTACCGAGCTCAGCCTTCATACTGGGCATTGCTATAAGGAAGGTTAAAAAATAGAAAAAAGGAAGAAATAAAAGGTGGGGAGGGGAATTGAGGAGGGAGAGGAAGGGAGCTGACGCACTGATGATAAATCATATTATGAGCAAACAGAGAAATCGTCTGAATATCACCGAAAGAGGAGACCTTCGTTTGTTCCTTACGAAAATCGAACCAGATATCAAATATTTAGTCTGGCAGCATCGACCTCAAGGATCTCATTAATCACTAGTAAAGGTAATTTCAATTTACTTTATTGCGTCCTCATTAAACTTTATAAAGTTAAAAACATTATAAATATGCATAAAGTAGAAATAAAAAGATAAATGTACGTAAATTTTTTTTTAAATGCCCTCCTTTCTAAAAAATATTCCGCACGTGCGCGAAATCTTTCCATCAAGAAACATGCATTAGTGGGCGGTATGTGGAAAAAGGTTGACTACCACTGCTATATATGTTTGCACTTTACCATGGAGAGGTGGCAATATTAAAAAAATCCTTGGGCAGTGTGAAATGAAATGGGTCTTTTACCTCAAAACTTTAATTCCCACCGGGCTTAATTCAGACCTTGATCTGTACAATTTTTTATAACCCCCTTTTTTTTTTTTTATAACCCTCGTTTTTAATTATATATATATAGATTTTTTTTATCATTCCATTTCCTCTTCCATTGATTGATTAATTTTTAGGTGACAAGTTGCCATTTGTCACTGGCTGTCGGAGGAGCCTGAGTGCCAGCCTCCGGCCTCATGACTAGGGCCCTGGGTTGTATGGCACCTTACAAACCTTATTTGGGCTAATGGATTTATATTGTGCTGCTGCTGGCCCTTTAAGACCTGCCTTGTGGGTTATGGGACTGGTGCTGGCCCTTTAAGCACCTTCTTGGGGCATAGGAAAAATTGGGACACTGCCCCTTTAAGACGGTGTCCCCAGACTTGTTTGGGACACTGCCCCTTTAAGACGGTGTCCCCTGTGCCCCCAGACCTGGTTCAAACCCTTTGTGCATGGCTATTTCCCACTTGGTTCAGTAAATGGGGCTCACTGAACCAAGTACCACACAGGCAGACCACCCTGAAGTGGAAGTGTGTCGGCAATTTACCTCCCAGAAGCTGCGGTTAACCGCAGCTTAATTGACAATGCTGGGTGGCCTTTGTTCGTTTGCCGAACACGTGGCGGCGGCCATCTTTGTTAATGCGAACGAGGTCAGCGGTATGTGTAGCCAAATTCATGGAACTAAAATCGGCTACACATTTCCGCGAACACCGCTGAGCTCTACCTTCTTCCATACTGATTTTACAGCTGCAGAGACTAAGTCCCAATCGGCGAAGGGACTTAGTCGTTTTTTCAGCCTGAAATAGACCGACCGCACAGCCCAAATCTATGGAACTGTTTTGGGCAGGAAAATGTGCTTGCGGTCGGTCATAAAGGGACCTCCAGCTAACTTTTTAACCCCTGGATGGATTTGGCTGATTTTTAGTTATGTTTATGTTTAAAGTGTGCTGATTAATAATATGTAATTATGACGATTGGATGTGTAGTTTTAAAGTTACAGTGTGTGGATACAAACTGTATTTTTACTGCCTGTGTTAATTATGTTAAACCATTGTGCAACATAATTAGATCACAGGCAGAGGGGAGGATTTTTGTGTGTAATTGCTGGGAGTGTTTCTGTAATGTACGTTTCTGATTGGTTGTTGTGTAAAACCCTGTGGGTGGTCCTATCTCAGGGAAACCTGCATAAAAGAAGGTTCTTTGTGTGCCAATAAACAGATCATCTTGTACCTTCATGAAGTTTCGGCTCATGTTTGGGGGGATTGGAGAAACTACGCTCTGGGGATTGCTATAATCACTATACTCCCCAGGGTATAATCACCAAGCTCTGCTAAGAGCTTGTTCCTGTTCCTGCTCTCTGGAATTCGGAGGGAGGTCGACCTACTGGAAGCTGGACCCTGGTCCTGGGTCCAGAGTGGGTGGAGACGGCGAGACCCCAACCAAGCTGCGGCGGTTCGTGGGGTCTGCAGTCGTTATGGTGTCGGGCAGAGTTCTTGGAGTCCTCGGAAAGCACTAGGATCATACGTCGGCGGAAGGTACCCGGTTGGGGTGCCAGCGGTTCCGTTACACCTATAGCTTTGTATTCAATTTTAACTTCTGTTTTACACTCATTGTTAATATGATTTATGTGTTGTAAATCTTTATTTTTAATTAAATTTTTTATGTGAATTACACTTATTATTTTTCATTATTTAATTTGCTTAAGACTGTATCATCTAGATTTGTTATTATTATATGAAGTATATTTTTAAACTTGTATTGGTATTTACAAAGATGCTCTTAGATTCAGTTATAACCATGCACTCCATTTTTTTGTATTATTTTGGTCCTTTTTACGCTGTTATTTTTCCCTAAATTATACTTATTATTTTTATCTAATATAGTCTATGCATAGACCATATTATTATTTTAGTGTCTTATCTCAATTTTTTTTATTTTATGTCTATAGAGGGAGCTATTGCTCCTCTTATTTCTTTTAGTGTGTGTTATTCCAGTTTTTTGCCTGTAGAGGGAGCTACTGCCCCTTTTATCTCTGTTATACAAATTACCTGTCCACCAATTTTTTGATCCCCAGCTTATCCAGGAAGATGCCATTTTGTTGGAGCCAAATAAAGATTTAAAAAAATAATAATAATGAATTGGTCATGTGACCATGATGTCACAAAACCGTTATTTTCAAAATCCTATCCCTATTTAAGCAGCTCAGGTCCCATTCACTCTGTAAACACTTTTGATAAAGCTTATCCAAGGAGAAACACTTTAAGTGTATTGTTTATAACATTTTTTATCACTATTTTTTATCACTAATATTGTATTACTTTTATTATTTTTTTTAACATTAAAGAACTTTTTTAATTGGACCTAACTTTGCTGCTGTTGGATTGTTTGGAGCTATATCCCTGGTGGGGATCATACCACCCAAGCGCTTTGGATTGAGCAAACCGGAACTTGCTCTTTAGCATGCGAGTAGGTTTAACTTATTTATTTCTGCTTACACTCCTTTTTACGGTGTACACTATTGTGGTTCTGTTTGTTTATCTCCACATATACACGGACGGAAGAATTTATATCTACACCTGTATCCTTGAGTGGGGATCATACCACTTCAAGCGCTATCAGAGGAGCCAGGTTTTGCGGCTCCATTACACGTGAGTGTACATTTTATAGTTTTTACCTACCCTTGCTTCATAGCTCTACATACTTAACCATTTACGATTTTTATTTGTTTGTTTTTATGAGGATACCCCCTACCATACCTATAACTCGAAGAATTGCTTCTGCACTTGATCCATAGGTGGGGATTATTCCGCCCAGGCGCATACACTGGAGCTGTATTGAAGCTCCAGGAAAGTGTGAGTGCACATCTTTTATTTCACTTATCACCACTACAGTTTTAAATACTACACTATTATTTCTTCTCTGGCTCTCTTCACATATACCGTGACAAGGATGACTGAAGCGCTGCACCTACCCCCTGTTTTTATCCAGTTTTCTGATCGAAAAGAGAGACTCCGTATTGGTGTTCAAGCTGCTTTTGGACTTATCACTTTTCTTCCGCGCTGAATTTATTTTTGTGTGATTGGCAGATACAAGAACCCTGCTAAAGGGCCTCCCAACTCCCTCCCCCTGCTTCCCCCTTTGTTATGGGCCTACAACTTAAATATCTGCTACCCTGAAATCGCTAGCGCCCATCGCATTCCCTTTAAATAATTGCGAATTAAGCCTGGTTGCGAATAGGCTGGACCTGCTAGACATGAGGAATCAGTTGGGCTTTCACCTCCACATGGCGGTGTTCATAACTACACTGAATATTGATAGTGTTCATGGCATCTTTGATCACACACACACAATTCACTAGTTCAATTTATGTTTGTTTGTCATGCAAATTAAACTTGTGTTATTATTTCTTTCTAAAAAAAAAAAAAAAAGAAAATAGGCCATCTTGCCTAGGAGTTATCCAACTTGGTATATCAATGTTGATGTGTTCACGACTGCATAGATTTACTAAGCTTGTCCTTCTGTATCAAATACTATTTAGACTCCTTCTTGCTTGGCACATGCCTCAATAAAAATACAGATTGACAAATTAAAAATAATTAATCCATGTAAGCCCATCCATGGAAGGTTCCATGCAGAATGAGCTGGAAAAGAGATCTCTCACACTACATATGCTCCTTCCGAGCACTTTGAAAGGTATATTATTATTATTATGATATTTATAGAGTGCCGTCAAATTCCGCAGCGCTTTACAATGGGTGGACGAACAGACATGTAGTTGTAACCAGACAAGTTGGACACACAGGAACAGAGGGGTTGAGGGCCCTGCTCAATGAGCTCACATGCTAGAGGGAGTGGGGTAAAATGACACAAAAGGTAAGGATAGTATTAGACTAGTGACAGTTGCAGAAGAGGAATCAGTCAGGAGCTATTAACAGTTTGATATGCTTTTATGAAGAAGTGGGTTTTTAACGATTTTTTTGAAGGAGTGGAGACTGGGTAAGCATCTAACGGAGGAGGGAAGCGAGTTCCACAGGAATGGTACAGCCCTCGAGAAATCTTGAAGGTGAGCATCAGAGGTGGGAGTACGGACAGAAGATAGACGTAAGTCTTCAGCAGATCGTAAGGGCCTCGACGGGACATACTTGTGTATAAGGGAGGATAGATAGGTGGGAGCAGCATTATGTAGAGATTTAAAAGCAAGAAACAGAATTTTAAATTGAGCTCTATATTTTATAGGAAGCCAATGTAGGGACTGACAGAGGGGTGAGGCATGGGAGGTGCTGGCGGACAGGAAGATGAGCCTCGCCGCCGCATTCATTATGGACTGTAACGGCGCTAGTTGGGAGCACGCAAGACCACTGAGAAGCGGATTGCAGTAGTCAAGGCGAGAAAGGACAGTGGAATGGACCAACACCTTAGTCGCATCTGGCGTTAAGTAGGGGTGGATGCGCGCAATGTTTTTGAGAGGGAAATGACAGGATTTGGCGATAGATTGAACATGAGGCTTGAAGGAGAGGTCGGAGTCAAAGAGAACACCTAGGCAGCTGGCCTGCGTGGTGGAGCTGATGGTAGCACCGTTGACTTGGAGGGAGACAGACACAGGAGTAACAACACTTGAGGGAGGAAAGACCAGAATTTCAGTTTTGGTCAAGTTTAGTTTAAGGAAGTGGGCAGCCATCCAGTTAGAAACAGCAGAGAGGTAGTCAGAGACACTAGTCAAGTATATCTCACTTTTGTCAATACTTGCGTGGGACTTTTAATTATTTGGTTTATTTTATTGCCCCCATAGGCTTTTTTACAAATAATGAGTTAATCAATAAAACCTGGCTTTTATCTCAAACTGCTCTGTTTGGCTGCTTGAATTTTAGCTGATATGAAATTCAAATAAATCAACCAAAAAAAGTCGATGATTATCAACTTTTTTGCCAATAGAAATTAATTGAGGTCTATGTGATCAAAATATAGCAGGGAACTCTTAAATGTTTTTGTGTCAAAATGTTTCCAATAAGATCCCTTTTTTTAATGCAAAACCCTTGGCTGTTCAAATATCATCAGTGATATTAATCTCAGTATAGAGCACAGTTGGAGAAATTAAAATAAAGAATGCATCTTAATTAACAATTATGAAGGGTGCCAATGCATAGTAAAAATATTATCTTTATCTATGAGGTATGAGACCCCACCATACGAATCAAGTTAATGTATGTTTTCCAATATGACTGCAATTGTGCTTGGCGGCCCGGAAGCGCTGCGCCTCCACGACTGAGTACCTCCGCTAATCGATGCTCCTAGTGCTCGCTGAGGACTCCAAGCACGCCAACCGAAACCATCAGCACTGCAGACCCCACTTCCAGCAATGCAACTGCGCCGGGGTCTCTGCTGTCTCCACCCACCCTGGACACAAGGCCAGGATCGAGCTTCCAGTGGGTGAACCTCTCTTTCCCCAGAGAACAGGAACAAGCTCTTGGCAGAACTTAGTGATCATACCCTGGGGAGTATAGTGATTATAGCAATCCCCAGAGTGTATTTCTCCAATCCCCCAAACATGAGCCAAGGCTTAATGCTGGAACAAGACTGATTTACTGGCACACAGAACTCACAATTTATGCAACACAAAACTCCTCCTCTGGGCCAGGCTAGATAATTGAGTTTCTATAATACACAAAGCTCAATTATCTGCTGGCCAGAAATAATACAGTTTCATAAAACACATCACAAGGACCCCAAAACATGCAATAACCCCATAAAAAGTATCCTTGGAACCGGGGGATCTGGGTGAACCACATATCCAAAATTCACCCAGATCCGTTCAGTACTTTGAAAAATACAGTTTAATGCAGATTCTGCAGAACATATACAGGCTAAATGAAAAACAATTACTGTATAATGTGTCCCCTGTTGTATAGTTTAAAACTACTGCACGATGTCTTTGTGTACCAAATACCGGCGAGATGGCACCGTGTAGAAAAGTCCAAACAGTGTCTGTGAGTAAAAATGGCCGCCATCCATTGTTCTCACCATGTGCTTCATCCATTGTTCTCACCATGTGCCTCTGATACATGAAATGGTGGCCACCCAGTAACTCCACAGTATGTCCCCTGATGGTTCTTAAAGGGCCAGCAGCAGCACAACACAAATCCATTATGCCCAAATCATGTCTTTAAAGGGCAATACATCCCAGGGGCCATAGTCACAGGGCAAGAGGCGGGCAAGCAGTCCTCTCCAGGCACAAGTGGCGAAAGGCACTTCGTCACAGTGCTTATCTGTTTTTTTTTGATGATATGCTCCCTTTTGTAATTAAAGTGTTTATTGAGAATATTGTAATACAAAGTATAACAAATAAGAGAGTAGAAGAAGACAGCAACTAGTCCATTTATAGCACAACAAGAAAGGCAGGTTAGCAGAAAAAGCAAGAAAGATGAAGAATATGAGAAACTATAAGAAGGGAATGATGGGGTGAGACTCCTGACAGCTAGTGATGCACCGAACGGTTCGCCGGCGAACAGTTCCCGGCGAACATAGCGTTTTCGCGTCCGCCGCGAACGGCGAACACATGCGCGGTTCGATCCGCCCCCTATTCATCATCATTGAGTAAACTTTGACCCTGTACCTCACAGTCAGCAGACACATTCCAGCCAATTAGCAGCACACCCTCCCTAGCAGACCCTCCCACCTACTGGACAGCATCCATTTTAGATTCATTCTCAAGCTGCATGCTTAGTGAGAGGGGAGGGAAAGTGTAGCTGGCTGTTGATTAGATAGTGGTTCTAAGGCTAGGTTAGGGTATACAGTGTCCACTACAGTCCTGAAGGACTCGTCTGATTCTGCTGTAAGTGACAGCACCCTCAAAAAAGCCTCCCTTCTTTAGGGCGAATATCAGTCTGCTTTTTTTTTTTTTTTTTTCTGTGTAAAATGTGAATTTTGCAGTTAGTTGTCTGCCACTGCTGTAAGCAGCTGCTTGTGTTGTGCCTACAGTGATACTGTGCCCAGTAGCCACCACCACCTACTGGTGTCACAATAGCTTGCATTTAAAAACAAAAAACTTTTTTCACTGTTATAGATTGAATAGCAGTTAGTTGTCTGCCACTGCTGCCAGCTTCTGTGTCAGGCTCACAGTGGATACTGTGCCCATTTGCCCAGTCAGTGCCACCACTCATATCTGGTGTCACAATAACTTAAGCTTGACATTTAAAAAGAAAAAAAAAAATTCACTGTAATAGATTGAATAGCAGTTAGTTGTCTGCAAGCATCTGGGTGTCAGGCCTCCTTCAGCGTGTGCTCTGCAGACCTCTGCCCGTGTACTTTGCCACTCATATCTGGTGTCTCTATAGCATGCTTTTACAAAGAAAAAAGTTTTTCAGTGTAAGCTAATAGCAGTCAGTGTCCTTAAAGCGGGTGTCAGGCCTCCTTCAGCGTGTGCTCTGCAGACCTTTGCCCGTGTACTTTGCCACTCATATCTGGTGTCTCTATAGCGTGCTTTTACAAAGAAAAAAAGTTTTTCAGTGTAAGCTAATAGCAGTCAGTGTCCTTAAAGCTGGTGTCAGGCCTCCTTCAGCGTGTGCTCTTCAGACCTCTGCCCGTGTACTTTGCCACTCATATCTGGTGTCTCTATAGCGTGCTTTTACAAAGAAAAAAAGTTTTTCAGTGTAAGCTAATAACAGTCAGTGTCCTTAAAGCGGGTGTCAGGCCTTCAGCGTGTGCTCTGCAGACCTCTGCCAGTGTACTTTGCCACTCATATCTGGTGTCACAATAGCGTGCATTTAAAACCAAAAAACTTTTTTCACTGTTATAGATTGAATAGCAGTTAGTTGTCTCAAAGCTGGTGTGTCAGGCTCACAGTGGATACTGTGCCCAGTGCCACCACTCACTCACTGGTGTCACAATAGCTTGCATTTAAACCAAAAAACTTTTTTCACTGTTATAGATTGAATAGCAGTTAGTTGTCTCAAAGCGGGTGTGTCAGGCTCACAGTGGATACTGTGCCCAGTGCCACCACTCACTCACTGGTGTCACAATAGCGTGCATTTAAAAACCAAAAATCTTTTTTCACTGTTATAGATTGAATAGCAGTTAGTTGTCTCAAAGCGGGTGTGTCAGGCTCACAGTGGATACTGTGCCCAGTGCCACCACTCACTCACTGGTGTCACAATAGCGTGCATTTAAAAACCAAAAATCTGTTTTCACTGTTATAGATTGAATAGCAGTTAGTTGTCTCAAAGCGGGTGTGTCAGGCTCACAGTGGATACTGTGCCCAGTGCCACCACTCACTCACTGGTGTCACAATAGTTTGCATTTAAAAACAAAAAACTTTTTTCACTGTTATAGATTGAATAGCAGTTAGTTGTCTGCCAGCGGGTGTGTCAGGCTCACAGTGGATACTGTGCCCAGTGCCACCACTCACTAACTGGTACCCGGACAAAATTTATTTTCACAAAAGGCAATCCCCAACCTGTACTCAATTGTGCAAAAGGAAATAATGGCATGTCTGGCACACAGTGTTGGGGCAAGGGTCCATCTGACCACTGATACCTGGTCTGCAAAGCATGGTCAGGGCAGGTATATCACCTACACTGCGCATTGGGTAAACCTGCTGACGGCTGCCAAGCATGGAATGCGTGGCTCTGCAGAGGAGTTGGTGACACCGCCACGACTTGCAGGCAGGCCTGCTGCCACCTCCTCTACTCCTCCTACTCCATCCTCTTCCATAACCTCCTCGGCTGAGTCCTCTTCTGCTGCTGCGTCTTGCTCCACATCAACGGATAGGGGACGTAACAGGGATTAAACTGATAAGAATAGTACTACTTAACACACCACTCCTATCTGGTGGCACATTAGATTGCACGCGCAGTGCCCCAAATTTGTTGTGATCTGTGAGTAAGGTAAACGGTTGTCCATACAAGTAAGGTTGCAGCTTTTTGAGGGCCCACACCACCGCCAGGCACTCCTTTTCAATGGCAGTGTATCTACTTCCCTGGGCAAAAGTTTCCAGCTTAGATAAGCCCCGGGTTGCTCGCCGCCATCTGCTCCGACTTGGCTCAGTACTGCTCCCAATCCAAACATAGAAGCGTCTGTATGGACGAGAAAGCGTTTAGTTGGATCAGGAGCAGAAAGTACAGGTGATTTAATGAGCGCCGTCTTGAGCTGTTGGAAGGCCTGTTCACACTCTGGGGCCCATACTACTATCTTAGGGAGGTTTTTACGCGTTCCTATATGGCATTTACTGGGCTTTAGGGTCAATCCAGCCTCCCTAATCCGGTCTAGTACGGCTCCTATGTGGGTCAGGTGTTCTGGCCAGGAGCAGCTAAAAATGGCTATATCATCCAAGTAGGCGCAGGCATACTCCTGAAACCCATCCAGTAGCCGATCTACCATCCTCTGAAAGTTAGCCGGGGCATTCTTCATCCCGAATGGCATGGCCTTAAACTGATACAGGCCAAACGAGGTGACAAATGCCGACTTGTGGATGGCATCCTCGGCTAATGGAATTTGCCAGTACCCCTTGCACAGATCTATTGTGGTGAGGTACTGGCCTCTGGCCATTTTGTCTAGGAGCTCGTCTATCCGGGGCATAGACGAGGCGTCTGAGGTTGTTTTATCATTTAGCCTCCGGTAGTCTACACAGAAACGGGTCGTGCCGTCCCGTTTCGGTACTAGTACTACCGGGGAGGCCCAGGGGCTGTCAGAGTGTTCTATCACCCCTAACTGCATCATTTCCTCAATTTCTTTCTGAATATTTTCTTTAACTGCTTCGGGTATGCGATAGGCGGTTTGGCGAAGGGGGGTCTGGTCTAGGGTTTCAACTTTGTGAGTGGTTAATGGACTGTACCCAGGTAGGTTGGAAAACGTGGCCCCCTTGTCCTGGATTAGTCTTTGGACCTGGGTTCGCTCCTGGGGGTCTAACCGTTCTCCTAACTGTACTTCTCCCAGGTCTCCGCTCTGGCCCTCTAGGTCTAGGAGATCTGGGAGTGGCAAATTATCATAATCTTCAGTGGCAGGTGCACAGATCGCGGTTACCTCTTCCGTGCGCTCGTGGTATGGCTTGAGCATGTTCACATGGAGCATGCGCTTGCCTCCCGTGCCTGTGACCGCACCGATCACAAAGGTGGTATCACAAACCTGCTCTACCACCTTGTATGGGCCCTGCCAGGAAGCCTGCAGCTTGTCCTTGTGGACAGTGTCAATCCATATCTGCCAAGTGACCCTATGTAGGGGGAACAGTCTCTATTCTGCTCTGTGTCAGTGTGTATCATGGTCTCTGAGGACAGGTGTCAATTCATATCTGCCAAGTGACCCTATGTAGGGGGAACAGTCTCTATTCTGCTCTGTGTCAGTGTGTATCATGGTCTCTGAGGACAGGTGTCAATCCATATCTGCCAAGTGACCCTATGTAGGAGAACAGTCTCTATTCTGCTCTGTGTCAGTGTGTATCATGGTCTCTGAGGACAGGTGTCAATCCATATCTGCCAAGTGACCCTATGTAGGAGGAACAGTCTCTATTCTGCTCTGTGTCAGTGTGTATCAGGGTCTCTGAGGACAGGTTTCAATCCATATGTCAAGGTGTCAATATGTCATATGTCTGGTGTCAATCCATATCCATTGTGATTTAGGAATGTTAGCCGATTTATGCCCTTTATGGATTAAGACCAGACTCTGCATCAACTGTGTAATTTTCCATGGGAGTTTTGCCATGGATCCCCCTCCGGCATGCCACAGTCCAGGTGTTAATCCCCTTGAAACAACTTTTCCATCACTATTGTGGCCAGAAAGAGTCCCTGTGTGTTTTAAAATTCGCCTTCCCATTGAAGTCTATGGCGGTTCGCCCCGGTTCGCCTGTTCGCGAACATTTGCGGAAGTTCGCGTCCGCCGTTCGCGAACCGAAAATTTCGTGTTCGGGACATCACTACTGACAGCCAGTGTGAAACCCTCAGGCACGTTTTTTGCCCACCGGAGTCCCAGCAGAAAAGACAAACAGGCTACAGGAGAAGGAGGCATAAGGTTGATCCATGCCTAAAATAAATTTCCATCCAGCGTAACCACATTTTCTAAAAATCCTCATTAGTTTCATGTTGCAATTGTCAGCTCCATTGTAATAACATACCATATCTAAGCATCTATCCATACTTTGGATGGAGGACCTGCCTTAGAGCACCCTAAAGATATGTTTATGGTAAGAGCATGGGCAAAGAGATCTGCATGTAATCTCTGTTAAGAAGTTCCACCCACAGGAAGAAGGTAACTCCCAAACATCCTGAAACCCTCAAGGGTTTAATCTGACTGCAGGTCCACCAGCATGCAAATTGGAAACAGAGAAAGACTGCTTCTGGTTTGATTTTGAACAATCTAGGAGGGTGTAGATGCCATTTGGCGGTGACTTTAAAACTATTTTCTTGAACCAAGGTAAAGGAAGTAATGTGCATTGTGTGATCTAGATATCAGACCAAGCTGTCTAATCAAGCTTCTCCCATAATTCTATTACCCATCTAAGTGAATTGGTAAGGATAAGATAGAGAAATTAAGTGAGAATATAAAATTGATATCAGACCCACAAGTCTGCACATGTGCTCATAAAAGTTGGTTTTGTCCCCGGGGTAGGACATTAAAATGGAGCTGAAGATGCTGAAAAGCACAGAAGACCGAGGTCATCTTGAGCCTATGTCACTCCCATAGTTGCAAGGAGTGTTTCAGTGCTGGGCTAGGGTGACACACTGAGAGGGTGGTGTTAGGAGGCCACATGAACTCTTGGGCCTGTTTGACCAATTCCCTCCTCCAAGGCCACCCAACATGCCTTGTCTAAGGCCAGGTTTATTTGAGGCAACATTGCAAATTTGTCTTGCCTTATATTAGGTAGGTATAGTAGGGACCTGACCTGCAGTGTAAGGTTTGGTTGAGCACTAGAGTTGAGCGGACACCTGGATGTTCGGGTCCGGTGGGTTCGGCCGAACTTTGAAAAAAAGTCTAGGTTCGGGATCGAACTTGACCCCGAACCCCATTGAAGTCAATGGGGACCCGAACTTTTGGGCACAAAAATGCCTCTAAAAAAATCCTGGAAAGGGCTGGAGGGCTGCAAAATGAAGTAAGAAGGGGGGAAGAGTAGGACAAGTGCCCTGCAAACAAATGTGGATAGGGAAATCACTTAAAATAACATAAAAATTTAAAATACAGCTGAGCCATAATATAGCACAAGATGGAATCTTTGATTTTAGCTTTGGAAGAACATAAATCAAAATCTAAAGCATGGCTGTTAGGAGGATCACCAGAATTATCCATTTGAGAGAGGGTTGGAGTGCAGGGTATTCTCTTTCATTCTTCAAACTGAGCTCAACTCCTGATGCATGGAGAAAAGGCCTTCACAAGCCTTTGCTATTGTGTACATAGTTTATACTAAATGACCCATAGGTTGAGGAGGCGGTGACCGTGTCGATGTAGGTGGAAGCAGCGGTGGAGGAGGAGGAGGTAGCCAACACAGTTTTTTATGTTTTTTTTTTTAATTGGGGTAGCCCCCAAAATATTGGGACATATAAAAAAAGACAACCCTGTTCCGCAGAGCGACTGACCCGTGCGTACTGAAACTCCACTATCGCCTGCTGCTGCTCGCACAGTCTCATGAGGCGGTGAGCGGGAAGGCCAAAGTTACGCTGCAGCGCAGACAGGCGAGCAGCAGCAGGAGATGAGGAGGAAGTGCGCAAGGAGGTGTAATGGCGCCTGGCATATTACCGAGAGCCACCCTCAGAGGAGATTGTCAGCAGGACCTTTTTGGAGGTGCAAGCCTATGTCCTTGCCAATAGACAGAGGGCGACCTCCATGAACCCAGATGAAGGAAGAAGGGAGCAGAGGGCGCCAGGAAGCACAACCACTCTGGCCCACAAGCTACCATACAATACAACTCTTTAGAGGCCCTGTAATTGTAATGAGTCCACTTGAAATCCTTTAACTCTGATCAATTAGAGGGCAAGTCTCGTGCAGAGCGACTGACCCGTGCGTGCTGCAGCTGAAACTCCACTATCGCCTGCTGCTGCTCGTACAGTCTCTCCAGCATGTGCACGGTGGAGTTCCACCTTGTGGGCACGTCGCATATGAGGCAGTGAGCGGGAAGGTCAAAGTTATGCTGCAGCATAGACAGGGGAGCAGCAGCAGGGTGAGAATGCTGAAAGCGCGCACAGCTGCTACAGTGAACGTCACATCCTGTTCCTAGTTGCAGATCAGTCTGGTGATGGCTTCTGATATCCAGTACTCTTTTTACTGAAGCTGCATCAGGGTCCTGGTATGTGGCCGCACAAATGCTGGTGTTCAACACCAGGGGGCCTGTGGTTACCCTGCACCAGACCATGCTAATCCATTCCACACTGTGACTCCTAACTTCAACATCAGGCATACAGGGTCCCGGTTGTCCAACCGCTGCCCAGACAGTGTCTGGGTCCCGGTCACCGGACTGCGAAACTGCGAATGGCTCGTTAAATCTGTTATGGTTCCTTTTATCGCTCCATCTGTTACTTGGATAACTGTGGGAATTCTGAAGATAATACATGCCGACGAGCGCTAGGGGACGGCTGCTCTGCTTTTTCACCCTGCTCCCTCTTATGCTGTGCTGGTGCCTCTGTGCGACCAGCGCTTTTTCCTCCAAACTGCACACGTCACTCGCATGACCTTGATTCCATGTGGGGTCTAGGACCTCATCATCCTCCACATCATCTTCCACCCACTCCTCAACCCTGCCCTCCTTGCCGGTCTGCACACTGCAGAAAGCCACAGCAGTTGGCACTTGTGTTTTTCCAGCATGTAAAGTCTGCAAAGGACGTGTGGAAATTGTTTTAGAATTGTATCCAGGCAACAGTTTTCCCTATAAACTGACGTCTCAGTTTGACTTGTGAGGGTATTGCCCCGAATTACAATATTGTTATATTGGTATTTGGCGGTTCTATTTGACTCTCAGATATGAAGTGCATCGCAGGCCGCAAATGTACTATTTAGCAGCCAAAAAATTTGAATGTTTAAAAATGCTATGTCACAGCAGTATTTGACGCTTCTATTTGACTCTCAGATATGAAGAGCACGCCCAATCTGTACTATTTAGCAGTTTAGCAGCAAAAGAATTAGAATTTTTACAACTACGCTGTAAGCGCACTATTTGATGCTTCTATCTGACTCTCAGATATGAAGAGCAGGGCCCAAATTTACTATTTAGCAGTTTAGCACCCAGAAAATAAGAATGTTTACAATTGCGTTGTAACCGTACTATTTGGTGCTTCTATTTGACTCTCAGATATGAAGTGCACCGCAGGCCGCAAATGTACTATTTAGCAGCCAAAATTTTTTAATGTTTAAAAATGCTATGTTACAGCACTATTTGACGCTTCTATTTGACTCTCAGATATGAAGTGCACCCCACTAATGTACTATTTAGCAGTTTAGCAGCAAAACAATTAGAATGTTTACAACTGCGCTGTAAGCGCACTATTTGACGCTTCTATTTGAGTCTCAGATATGAAGAGCACTCCCCAAATTTACTATTAAGCAGATTAGCACCCAGAAAATAAGAATGTTTACAACTGCGCCGTAAGCGCACTATTTGGTGCTTCTATTTGACTCTCAGATATGAAGTGCATGCCGCAAATGTACTAGTTTGCAGAATTCTTTCCTAAGCTGTCCCTCACAGCGGCAGCATCCTCTCCCTACACTAATAAGACCTCATGTGCGTACGGCGCTATGCGACTCCAGCTTATAAAAGTACACTAATGTACTTTCAATTTAAGTTTTAAAACTGCAATGTGACAGCAGTATTTGATGCTTCTATTTGACTCTCAGATATGAAGTGCACCCCACTAATGTACTATTTAGCACCCAAAAAATTTACTTTTTAAAACTCCGATGTGACAGCAGTATTTGACGCTTCTATTTGACTCTCAGATATGAAGTGCACCCCACTAATGTACTAGTTTGCAGAATTCTTTCCTAAACTGTCCCTCACAGTGGCAGCATCCTCTCCCTACACTAATAAGACCTCATGTGCGTGCGGCGCTACGCGACTCCAGCTTATATATAGAGGCTGGGTCACATGCTGCACTGTCCAATCACAGCCATGCCATTAATAGGCATGGCTGTGATGGCTTCTAAGGGCACATGAGTCAAACGCTTGTTGATTGGCTGCCCTGCAGCCTTTCAAAACGCATCATTAAATCGCTGAACACCGAACTCCAACCCGAACATACAGTGATATGTCCGTGTTTGTGTCCAGGGTCCAAAAAACGTAATGTTCGGTACGAACCCGAACTTTACAGTCCGGGTTCGCTCAACTCTATTGAGCACCTTGCGTTTAGAATGGTTAAACTTGTGCAATATGGCATAGTAGTTAGGTAAGGGAATCAAGGGTGATATAGATCCAAATATTAATCTTTGTTATAGTCAGAGGAGGCCCAAATTATTATTATTTCAAGTGCACTTGGAGGAGCATGAATTCAGACACCAGACAACTGTTGGTATTCAAAATAAGCCTCTGACCTTTATTTTGTCAGTTGTGTTTTTATACATTAAAAATTAAGTGCTTACGTGCAAATACTCCTAGAACAGTAGTAGGAAGGGAGTGATAAGAGTACAGATAAGACATAGGGATGAACGTCATGTACGTAACAAATAAGTTCCTAGAAAGAGAAAGAACAGACTGATTGAGAAGAGACAGCTCAGGTGGGGGCTTTCTGCTCCCGGAACTAGACATATATGGTCTTAAGTGTCATTTTAAGCATCAGGCATTTCCTGAGTCCAAGTTAGCCAATTTTAATATAGGATATCTAATATGACACCTACAAGCCTGAACCTTGGAATCAAAGTAAATTCTATACCAAGGATTGGTCAGAGGCGGGAGGATATCATCAAGTAAGTAACTCAGTTTGTACTCTTCACTGGGTTTTCATCTTCTACTAAAATATATAATGGACAGTATACAACTCATGCTATTGTTCATCCTGACCTTTCTGTCTCCACAGAGTGACCTAACGCAGGACATTAGCACCTCCATACTCTGGGTAAATAACAAAGCTCACATGGTGACTCTGGATTACACCGTTCAAGTTCCGACTCATGGCGAGTCGGTGCCAGAATTAAGGTATAAAATTGCAATGTTTAATAAAACCGTTACAATGTTTATTATTTGTAGCATGTTACAAATCTTGTTCACTTGGATTTCAGAAAATGGTCTCAGTCTGAAATGTTATATCATATCCCCCTCTCTTCTTCCCTCCGAGCTATACATGTTTATGGCTTTCAGTCTGTTCCATCATATTCCCCTCTCCCTACTCCCTCCAAGCTATATATATTAAAGGAACACTATAGTCACCTAAATTACTTTAGCTAAATAAAGCAGTTTTACTGTATAGATCATTCCCCTGCAATTTCACTGCTCAATTCACTGTTATTTTGGAGTTAAATCACTTTGTTTCTGTTTATGCAGCCCTAGCCACACCTCCCCTGGCTATGATTGACAGAGCCTGCATGGAAAAAAAAAACTGGTTTCACTTTCAAACAGATGTAATTTACCTTAAATAATTGTATCTCAATCTCTAAATTGAACTTTAATCACATACAGGAGGCTCTTGCAGGGTCTAGCAAGCTATTAACATAGCAGGGGATAAGAAAATCTTAATTAAACAGAACTTACAATAAAGAAAGCCTAAATAGGGCTCTCTTTACAGGAAGTGTTTATGGAAGGCTGTGCAAGTCACATGCAGGGAGGTGTGACTAGGGTTCATAAACAAAGGTATTTAACTCATAAATGGCAAAGGATTGAGCAGTGAGGCTGCAGGGGCATGTTCTATACACCAAAACTGCTTCATTAAGCTAAAGTTGTTCAGGTGACTATAGTGTCCCTTTAATGGCTTTCAGTCTCTTTTATCATATCCCCCTCTCAGTTCTCCCCCCCCGAGTTATACATATTAATAGCTTTCAGACTGTTTTATCATATCCGGCTCTCCCTTTGAGCTATACATATTAATGGCTTTCAGTCTATTTTATCATATTCCCCTCTCCCTTCTCCCCTCGAGCTATACATACAGATGTGCTCAAAAGTTTGCATACCCTGGCAGAAATTGTGAATTTTTGGCATTGAGTTTGAAAATATGACTGATCATGCTAAAAAAAATGACTTTTATTGATTTATAGTGTTCATATGAAGCCATTTATTATCGCATAGTTGTTTGGCTTTGTAGCGGACCACGGGTAACCCGACCAGTTTCCTCCGCTTTTTCCCTTCATTCAGCTGAATATGAACCATTTAGAATATAAAGAGACCCATCCCCCCCCCCCAGTAACTGGACGACACACAGTCCTGGAGGCAGGGCCGTCTTTAACGCGGGGCAAACGGGGCAGCTGCCCCGGGCCCAGTTTCTCTTGGGGGGCCCGAGGCACCTGCACCGGCCCCGCTGACCCCGGCGGGCGGGTGGCCGGTCGGGCAGGAAGGCGGGCGCGCGAGGGAGCACTCACTGCTTCCTCTTCAGTTCCTCACCTCGCTGCGTTCGACGTGGTCACCCGCTTCCAGGGAGCCCAGCAGCACCACTGGACCTGAATCCCCCAGCACTCCAAAAGGTAAGGAGGTTAGGTATTACATTTTTTAAAAAATGTGTGTTTGTGTGTATGTGTGTGTATGTGTGTGTTAGTGTGTTTGTGTGTTAGTGTGTGTGTTTGTGTGTTAGTGTATGTGTTTGTGTGTATGTATGTGTGTGTTTGTGTGTGTTAGTGTATGTGTTTGTGTGTTGTGTATGTGTGTGTTAGTGTATGTATGTGTGTGTTTATGTGTGTTAGTGTGTGTGTTTGTGTATGTGTGTTTGTGTATGTGTGTTAGTGTGTGTGTGTTTGTGTGTTAGTGTGTGTGTGTTAGTATGTGTGTTAGTGTGTTTGTGTGTTAGTGTATGTGTGTGTTAGTGTATGTGTGTGTTAGTGTATCTGTGTGTTAATGTATGTGTGTGTTAGTGTATGTGTGTGTGTCAGCATGTCTGTGTGTGTGTCAGTATGTCTGTGTGTGTGTGTCAGTATGTCTGTCTGTCTGTGTGTCAGTATATATGTGTGTGTATATCTGTGTGTGTCAGTATGTGTATGCGTCAGTATGTCTGTCAGTGCGTCAGTATGTCTGTTAGTGCATGTGTATGCATGTGTCAGTATATCTGTCTGTGTGCCAGTATGTCTGTGTGTGTGTGTCAGTATATCAGTCTGTGTGTGTCAGTGTATGTGACTGTGTGTGTGTGTGTCAGTATTTCTCAGTGTATGTGGGTGTCAGTATATCTGTCAGTGTGTGGGTGTCAGTATTTCTGTCAGTGTATGTGTGTCAGTATGTTGATCAGTGTATGTGTCTGTGTGTGTGTGTCAGTATGTCTGTATATGTGCCTGTGTCAGTATGTCTGTCAGTACGTCTACCAGTGTATGTGTCTGTGTGTGTGTCAATATATGTACCTGTGTCAGTGTGTCTGTCAGTGTATGTGCCTGTTTATCTGTATGTAGTCAGTGTATGTATCTGTGTATCTGCTTGTGCGTCAGAGTGTGTACCTGTGCATCTGAGCCGCAACTTTAAATACAAATACACCCCTCCATTCAAACTTCAACACTACATATAAAACACACTCCTGCATTGAAACGTCAACACTACATACAAGCACACTCCTACATTCAAAAACAAACACTACACATAAATGCACACTTGCATTCAAACTCCAGTACCACATACAAACACATTCACACAAACATACTCCATACAAACACATGCTTACATTCAAACATACTAACATGGCTCAGTGCTAAATACAACCCTGCAAGCATGGGAAATTGGTAGAGTCCCAGCTGTCAAAGCATTGTTGGAGTTGCACGACAGATGGGGTTCTACCTTTAGTCCAACCTTGCAATTGGGGGTCCCAATAAAATTCATTCTACTTTAGTACCGCCACTGCGTTGGGATGGATGCCGTGATTGCATACCAGGGAGTGAGGGGCGAGAGCGGCAGGGCACAGGGGGCCCAAGCAAACACTTGCCCAGGGTCCATTCGTTATTAAAGACGGCCCTGCCTGGAGGTACAAAAATGTTTTATTGGCCACACACGGCTTTTATGCATAGCCCCATGCAAGGGGCTGACCACACAAACATACAAGGACACGTCCTAGGATCCTCCTCCTCCCTGGGACCCTAACGCGGGAAGAGACACTGTTCCCTTTGTCCCCAAAGCCCGCCACTGCGGTTTCACACTTATGTTGCGAGTGCGAACGTTATAATTGATTGGTTTGAACATTCTAATGGGGCAAACGAATGAGTCGGGAAACAATCCACGAACGCTCCCCTTGGCTCACCTCCCAGGGTAATAGCTTCCTGCTGAGGTAAGCTACTGGATGTTTTCTGCCATCGTCCTCAACCTGGCTCAGCACCGCTCCTAATCCAAACATGGAGACATCTGTATGAACGAGAAAAGTTTTTTTAGATTAGAGGCACCCAGGACAGGGGCATTTACTAAGGTGACCTTAAGGGCTTGGAATGTCTGCTCACACTCTGAAGTCCAGGCTACCTGCCTGGGCAAGTTCTTTCGGGTCAAGTTGGTGAGGGGCTTGGCTAGGGGGCTGTAGTTGGGGACAAACTTCCTATAGTAGCCAGCGGTCCCTAGGAAGGCAGTTACCTGGGTCTTAGGGGACAGGGCCAACTAGCTGCTGCCTCAACCTTGGCTGGCTCGGGCTTCTGCTTCCCACACCCTACCCGGTGTCCTAGGTATTTTACTTCTGCAATCCCTCGGTGACACACTGGTTTTTAGGGTTAATCCTGCCTCCCTAATCCTGTCTAGCACAGCTCCTACATGTACCAGATGCTCTTCTCAAGTGTCGCTGTATATGGCGATGTCGTCCAGGTATTCACAGGAATAGTCCTGGTGCCCTCCAACATCCGATCCACCATCCTTTGGAAAGTGGCTGGGGGGAATTCTTCGTCCCAAATGGCATTACCTTATTATTATTATTATTATTATTATTATTACGATTTATATAGCGCCAACAGATTCCGTAGTGCTTTACAATATTATTAGAGGGGGGATTTGACTATAAATAGACCAATTACAAGAAAACTCACAGAAACGAAGGGTTGAAGAGGGCCCTGCTCAAAAGAGCTTACAGTCTATAGGAGGTGGGGTATAAAACACATTAGGACAGGGAATAGAAGTCAAAATAGGTGGGAGTGAAGCAGAGCTGGAGGAGAGAGTAGAGTGCTGCCCTTAGGAGAGAGCAAGAGACAGGTATGTGAGGTAGAGGTTAGTCTGGGAGGCCATAGGCTTTCCTAAATAAATGAGTTTTAAGGCACTTCTTAAATGATTGAAGACTAGGGGAGAGTCTGATGGCGGTAGGCAGGCTATTCCACAGGACGGGAGCCGCCCGCGAAAAGTCCTGCAAGCGCGAGTTGGCCGTACGGGTACGAGCAGTGGACAGAAGGTGGTCATGGGCAGAGCGGAGAGACCGAGAAGTCAGTTCAGGGGTTCAGGAATTCTATGGAAGTCCCATTTTAACCGACCACATGCATGGTTTCATGCCCAAAACAGTATCAGAGAATCAGGCTGTGCGGTGGTCTAATGTCATTATGTGTCTTTTGTTCGTGGGTTCCTTTTTACCGAACGCCGTTGAATAGCCAAACCTCCATGGAAGGAGGAACTCGACGACCAAACACCGCTCATTATACTCGCGGCTTAAGATGGCCGCCATCACGTGGTCGAAGGGCACTTTGGATGGCTTCGGTAGTTCGAAGTGTGGCCATACCAGGGACAAAGGCACACACAATATAGGGATTTTGTCACAGTAAGTGTGGCGGCTACCCCGAGAGAATGAGGGGTTTCGCCGCCTTTAACCATCCCAGTGATGCTTTCCGATTTCCCAGGATAGTATAGCTCTTACAAGAGCTGGGTGATTATAGTATACATAGCTGGTACCTAGAATCATGAGCTGAGACTCTATGATGAGGGTAAGCAAGGAATGATTTTAATGGTGCCACACTGGCCTTTTATGCAATTCCCCATGCAAGGGGTACTTCCACATGGACCTTGTGGGGAACTTACAAGATAAAGACATAGACCAATGACAATGATGTTCAAACGCATGACACTCCCATTATCTCTAGGTGAAAAAGAACACAATTTACAGGTAACACGAAACTACCCCAAAAAAGAGGAGTCAACAAGGCCTATAGTGAAAAGAATACCATCTCCACTGTGAAGCATGGTGTTGGCTCATTGATGTTTTGATGGTGTGTGTGTGTGTGTGTGTGTGTGTGTGAGCTCTAAAGACACAGGAAATATTGTGGAAATTGATGACAAGATGAATGTAGCATGATATCAGAAAATAATGACAGACATTTTGCATTGTTCTGCATGAAGGCTGCTCATGGGAAACTCTTGGACTTTCCAGCATGACAATCACTCTAAGCACAAGGCCAAGTTGACCCTCCACAGTGGTTATAGCAGAAAAAGGTGCCTGCTCACTCATGTTTTATTTAAAAATAGTACATATATTACCAATTTTCCAAAGGTATGCAAACTTTTGAGCACATTTGTATTATGGGCTTTTAAAAAATATATATATATTTAATTACATGCACCTTTACAAACTTATTTTTTTTTTTTACATATTTTGTTAAGCAGGCCATAAAGTTGAGTTTGTGTTTGCTGATGCAATCGAATAAAATGTATTTTATATATTGTTTTTTTTTCTCTCATGCAGCAAATTCCGTCTGTCTTATTATCCTCACTGCCTTGAGTCATTCACTGCTCTCTTGCATGAAGCATTTGGAGGTCAGTGTGAGCACATGGTATATGGGGACTTCTTGCCTTATAATCGTGACCAGGAGACAGCCCCCTGTTACTTTATCCATGTGACGAAGAGAACATCATGAGTGTATTCCGAAAACCTTTTCATTGCCAGTGGAACCAGATCTTCATCTGTTGTCGTGGTTTCTTAACTAATGTCTTTGAATGGTGGTTTCATTCCTAGTCTAGACTGCTGCGTACAATATGTTAAGAATCAGCAGGTTTTGTGAGCTTTGGTGTTGCTGTGGATGCTGGGTGTGCCATGCTGATATCCCTGTATATTTTGGGTGAGACATGACAATGTTGCTTTAGGTATTGTTTGGGAAATGCTAATGTTCCAAGTAGTTAATTACTTTCTGAGATGCCAAAGATGCAGTGCCGAGCTTGCAGAGATTTACGGTGCTTTTAGATATCCCCTGCTATTGATGGAGCTTGCTCAAGGTTCTGGATTGGTTTGCTGAAGATCCAAGATGTTTGTGATGGAGAAAGTCATGATTTTCTGAATGGCATATTTTTATCTGGCAAATGATAATGTATTTTATGGTGTGTGTAACATTTAAAGTATATTAAACTGTTCTTTTGCTACACTTTATATAGCAATGTGTCCATTCCAACTGCTTGTGACTCTGTGTGCATCAGGGCTTATTTGGGACAATATTTCTCTTTATTTGAAGACAATGTTTAATGTTTAGGGAGCGCCGTATTTAACCTGACATTATTACCAATGCATATTTTAACACCATTCAGTGGATTCAATAAGAGTTTCGGTACTTTATGATTTAAAATGTTTTTGTTAAAGAGAAATGTAGTATGTAATAGACAATTTTGTCTCAGCAATTCGGTAATCATTTTACTGCATGCGGGGGCGGCTCTAACCACAAAGTCATGAAGACATGTGAGTTCCGAACATCAAAGCTTTAACTATCCCGGCAAACACACTTCCCGTTGTTATTAGTCACTTTATCAGATTTTAAGTTATTTCCACAAGTCAGCTCCTGGTACCCACGCACTATCCCCTAGAGTGCTCTTCTTGTTACAAGTTATAGGTTTTTGTGAATCCCTATTATTTCCAGTCTGAGCGACTTAGTGCCAGTTGAACTCCCTCTCCTCTGTGCACACAGCAGGTGTACCAGAACTTTTTTACACTTCCCGTTGTATTCGACCAACATGTGGAAACGTACCAAAACCCCTCGGAGGGTTCCAAATACCACAAAATCAGGGATTTTATGCTGAGAGGCCTACCTTGAATATAGCTCAAAATGGCAGTGCAGCCTGCAGACGACTCCCCTTATGGGGAGGAGGTACTCCTGGACGTGCTGGATGACATCCCTAGCGAAGGGGGACTGCACCATACTTCCTCGGATGGGAATGCTAACACCCTGGCTGCCAAGAATGATATTAAGGCGCTTCTCCATGACAGTTTATTATTAAAACTGAGAGGCAGCTTACCTGCAAACTTACATATTTTATTTTCTGTTTGTGTGCTGTAGTGATCAGTTATATAGTCGATGTCAGTAGTATGTCTATTCTTTATGTCTCGATAAAAAAATATAAATGACAAAAAAAAAACGTAAGAGCATGCAACATAAAGTAATCTAATGCGTGAAGACTAACCTTATATTTAAACATTGAACTTTGACCAAAAACCTTCATTAAATGTGTCCTAGAAAGAACAACCTGGTATATCCATAATTACCTCCTATTATTGACATTCCATCCGCCCAATAAAGTTCTCTCACCATCAGTACTTGACTTGGCATCAGCTCCCCCATAACTAACCTTTATTTTACTGCCTTATGTGAAAATGAGTAACAGGATACTAGAAGTATTTATTTATGTTTCTAACATTCTTAGTCATCTACAGATTGTGCAATGTAGCTATTAATACGACACGGTAAGCATAATAACTCATCACCCAGAGCCTAAACCTAGGCTATCCAAAAGTATAGCAAAACATAGCAGCATCTTTCCTAAAGGTTAGGGATCCCAGAATGTAATACCAAGCCGGGTCAAGGAGTACAGTGATCAAGATAGACAAACCAAGTTGGTAAACCAGAGTAACACAGTGAATGCTATTAGGAAATAACTGAGAAAGCACAACAGGGCGAAGATGCTGAGCAGAGAAGACACTTATTATTTATAAAGCACCAACAAATTCTGTGACGCTGTGCAATGGGTGTAATAACAGACACATATTTGTAACTAGACGAGTTGGGCACACAGAAACAGAAAGGTGGAGGGCCCTGCTCAATGAGCTTACATGCTAGATGGAGTAGAGTATAGTAACACAAAGGGTAAAAAGTAGATTTCTAGAATAGTATTCATTGAGGGCTTAGTGTTTAGTTTGTTTATTGAGGGCTTAGTATTTAGTTCTTTTTGTTTTGTTTTTTTAATGACACTTGCCGGAGAGGAATCAGGGTGCAGGGAGGGGCAGCTATTACTAGTTTAATTGATATGTTTTCCTGAAGAAGGGAGTTTTCAATGATTTTTGAAGGCATGGAGACTGGGTGAGAGTCTAACTGATCAGGGAAGGGAGTTGCACAGTAAGAAGTCTAGAAGGTAAGCATCAGAGGTGGAAGTACGAACAGAGGATAGACACAGGTCTTTTGTGAAAGAGAGCAGGAGCCTAGACAGGACATACTTGTGTATTAGGGTGGATAGGTAGGTTGAAGTAGCATTATAAAATTGTAACAAAAGGATCAGTGCTAAGGATGACCACAGAAAATATAATATATTTTAAAAAGGCAGCCTACCTACAAACAGAAAGGGGTTCCCTCTTAATACCCCACAATATGCAATGGAAAATAAGTAAAGGAGAGAAGGTTGCACCTTAATAAGATGGGGTGTACCAAAGTCAAAATGACAGAAATATTATATACAGTGAAACAAGTGTGGTCCAAATACAATGATACATAGATGGTAGATAAAAAGTCTTGAAGGGAACAGCCAGACTGGATAAAATCAGGGATTGTTGGAAGTAGAGTGCTTGTAATTCCAGAAGTGCATGGAAAACATAAAAGAGAGAACTCCAATGGTACAATATAGTATAAGATATATTTTTAAAAATGTATAGAGAGTCAGTTCTACTCACATTTACCAGAGCTATATCCAGCTCCGGTATGTATAGCGTGAAGTGGAATGATCCCCACGCCTGGATATTAGTGGTAGCTAAATTCTTCAGATGTTTTAGCAATGATAGAGGTTCCAAACCGAGAAGATAAAAAATGGCAAATGTGCTCACTGTAGAAATAAGACCATAAGATGATATACAGTATAGGAGATGTACTCACATTTATTCGAGCAGGCTTACTACTTGATGTATAGGGCGCTGGTGGTATTATCACCACCTGGGATTCTTTAGTCCTTTTTGAGATGATAAAACAGGATGCCAAATAAAAGAAATATTAAAAGATTCCTTTACTGGTAATAAATAAATAAAAAGTATCTACAACGCATTTCACCTTGCAAGGCTTCTTCAAGTAGACAAAAATAGCAGATCAACCTGACATCTCATGGTTTATACAGGGGACTAATGGATGTTAAGCAGTTTGAATTTGGCGCCATAATGACACCATGTGGGCGGAGCCACATCAATTAATTACGAGAGATATAAAAAAGACATATAAACCTTCAATTCATAGGTAAAATATACAGTACTTTCTTATAATATATTACAATTATAAAAACGAAGCTTTATTTTTCAAGTTAATCATTTTTCTGGTAGACCATGTGACGCGCGATGTTACTTCCGCGTCATGTGGTTATATCATTAGTGCGCATGTGTGGGGTATTTGCTCACTATGCATGATCTGTAGTGAGCAAAACAGATGGGAGGGAGAATATGGCCGTGACCACGACTTACACGCACAGAGGTGCACCACGTCACTGGGGAGAAGTTCTGAACACTTCCACATCAATTGAGCGGACATCGGGAAAGATAAAAAAAAAAAAAGTATAATCATTCTACGTTATAAATATATACAATAAACACATAAAATAAATAAATAATCCATAAGGAGGGAATGTAGAGGGGAATATTAATTATAATTAGTTAGTAATAAGAATAAACCCATAATGGTATGCATAGTTGTCATACCCAAGACATACATGGAAAGGGGTATTTAAAATAAGACAAAAATAAAATTAAAAGAAAAATAAATAAAAATTAAATTAGAAATAAATATAATAAAAATAAAAAATGTAAAAATAAATAACAAATACAAATTAATGTGAAAGAATACATAATAAAATACAAATACATATAAAAATAAAAATCAATAAAAATACAAATAAGGGGGGCGGTGCCTAGCCATCAAGCAGAGCAGACGTGTGGGTCATGAGCTCCTGCAAATTAAGCCGATTTTGGGACTTTAACCCAGGCCAACCAGAGATTAAGCATACCGACAGGCATTACTATACGGAGGGGGGTGGGGGGGGGCCAGCGAAGTGGCCTGAAGTTTTCACAAAGTCTAATACCCGCTGGGGGCTGGTGATTCACTACTGTGGCCTGCTGTAACAGAGCTGGGGAGAGATGGCCGATCTCCCTGCTCACTAGCAAACTAAACCGTCTTGAAACTCTCCTACCCCCCCTACCCCCTTGGACCGGGTACCCACTGGACTATCTTGATCGGCCACCATGGCACCTACCTTTTAAACCAAGCCGGGGCATAGCCACACTCTGCAGGCCTAGCTGACAACTCACTCTGAGCACAGTGGACTGACTCAAAATTGCGGTGGCACCTTGCCCTTGAGATGACACGCACGTGCAGTCTAAACTGTCCCCTTATAGCTTCTTGGAGCGATTCTTGCAGCCACTCGACGAGCATTTTCAGCGCTTTTGGCACTGTTGCTGTCTCAATCACGGGTGGAGATGCGGAGGGGTGAGAGCCGGAGGGCGCGGGAGACTCCCTCGGGCCTACCTGTTCCTGATACTGGCCTACCTGGGCTGAGGGCCACCAAGGGCTTGACCCTGAGACATCGCCAACATAAATGGAGGGCCCACCGCCACGGGTGGAGACAAACCATCGGGACCCCCCACCGCTCCCAATCCGGGAGGGACTCTGCTCATCATGGCTACCGGATCCGT